CCTGTTGCACAAGTGATCAAGGTATGAATATAATGATCTGTCTCATTTAATTTAATATAAAGATTTAATCCCCAAAACAGACTTCAGCTGTTCATTATTCAAAAAAATTACAAGGCACTTATGTATGTGAAGTTCATGACCCTTTTAAATATACATAACACTGTTAATAATGGAATATAAAGAGATTTTTCCTATGAGAGTATTTTTCTGCTTTCTTCAAAATATATCTTTTTTTAACAGTGTAAATTACAAATCATTGTAATTTACAGTGTGAATTCCTTTGAACTCCTAATTTTTCACTGGTTGATATTATTTAATTTTTTTTACCAAACAACCAAGATTAAGATCAGTTCTTCAAATGATAATTAGAAATGCTTGTAGGTATCTTGGGAAGCCATAATCTTAATGCACCATTTGCTTCCAATTACTGCATCACCGAATAGTTTCATATTCTGGTTTTTCAACTTTTATGTCATTGTACTTCAAAAAAAGTATGAAATGCAGCGTTCAATAGCGCGGCTGTCTTTTGGATGAGACATTAGCCATTGGTCCTATGTGTATTATGGCCATAGAGGTATAATAAGAATACTAGAGCGCTAACTGCAATGTATTCGATGTTCGAAATACGCAGAGCTGTGTGTGTGTACCATTCAAGATGGCTGCCATAGATTTAGCCAATCAAATTTCGCCTAAGCGCCATCGTTTGCAATTGCGCCCTCAATTTATACAGAAAGTTCAGTACAGCTAGTTACCCGTATGTTTGAAACTCGAGCGTTGCGGTGTATGGGTGTAATGTATACGATTTTAATTTTCATTCCTTGGTACTTTATTTTTGAATAGGATGCTCCACTTGGCCTCGTTTTGGCTACGATAGTTTACTAATTTGTTATTACCATTACTCATTATCATTAATGAAATAATAGTCAGTCAGAGGGCTTATTTATGGTAATAATATGTATACTAAGCCTGAAGGTGGCGCTTTACTACGACAGCCATCTTGAATGGTACACATACATAACTCTGCATTGCTCCGCCATCTTGTCAGCACTCTAGTTGTTTAATAGCTCTATGATTATGGCACAAGTGCAATAATGGCCCATGCGCATGTTAAAGAATGCAGTACACTCTTTGGAAAAGAGAAGGGGACTGTCTCCCAATATACTGCCAAATGCCCACCAGGTGGGCGAGCCCAACTATAAATAAATCTCTTGACTGTAGTCGGTTACCTATGACCGAGTGTATCTTGCATAAAAGAAAAATCTAGTTAACAAGCAGATAAGCACTTATTTTACATGTTATGTAAGTGTCCCTTTAAGTCTACCTATTCCACAGTGAAATTCCTCTGTCAACTTTATTAGGAAAAGGTTGTAACTCAGAATCAATCAGGTGTTATTAATGGGTCCTCTTAGGTATTGCTGATGTAATAGAGCCAAGGTAGACTGGTTTCAGCAACCCCCTCCCCTATTCAAAAGTGTAAATCATCATTTTGTATTCGTAAATCATAGCCTCTTTCTAACAAATGCTAAATCAATATCCTAGGACCATTACTTTTAATTAGTATACCAAGGTATATCCTTCATTCATAATGAAATTAAAAAAATGACAACATTATTTTATTGGAGTTTAAAAAATTGAATTGTGAAAAAAGATGTTTACAGTATAAATGACATAAATGTACATAAAAACTACAATGGCAAAAAAAAAAAATAATGAAAATTACATTCATTGTATTTTCATTATCATCATTATTTTTATTTTTATTATTTTCATTCTCAAAATTTGACTGGGTCCTAGGATAATCCTAGGTTGATCCAATGAAGTTGCTGCCCAAGAAGGTTAGGCCTATATAGTTCTTCTGGTAAGGATTACTGCAGTTCCTCCAGTATGCTATGTACTGTACCCCTTACTTTTCACCTAATTTTATATAGTAGGATTTCCACCAAGCAAAAGCTCAGGATATGATTTGAGTGAGTAGCCCAGCTGACTTGCACATATTTTCCAAAAAAAAAAAAGAAAAAAAAAAAAAAATCAAAGGTTGGATTTGCAATGTTGAAAAATTGCCTTTTGATTGGCCATCCTAAAGCTCTGTCTACACTATCAAATTATATATAACGAAAAACTGTTGTATGCCCATATATAGTCATGATGTGCCTATATATGGTCATGATGTGATTAGGCATTTAGGCATGTCACATGCTTTGTCAATTAAAATTTAATAGTCTGGACAGAATTTTACAATTATAGATAATGTTGTCTGTCCAATTAAAAATATATTTTAATTAATATCCATTAGAATTTTTAGTCTTATTTTTCTGCAACACAATTTGATTTCATTTATTTTGCAAAGAAACAACAAAGTAATCACACAAAGAAAAATTTGACATAGGATTACTCAATTATTGGTAGCAAATAACCACTAATAACTAATTTTTTGAATTCGGGAGAATGGAAGATTCCAGGACAATTTGCTTCAACACCAACGTTTCTAGACAGAAGCAAGCATTATGATATTCCTTGTACTAGTTTTTGCTTCCTTTGTTATATAGCCCTAAATAACTTGAATGATTTCACAATTCAGTGTACTATTAAATTTGACAGAAGTTTATGAGTAAGCTCTTTTGTATTTCCAGCAACTGTCTACTAAACGTTGACTCACAGTGTCATAATGGAGAGACATCTAACATGTTTTTATGTGTTTGTTTATTACTGTTTTAATTTTTACAAAAAACAGATTCATAAACCATTACCATAGTTCCTCTAGTATAAGCCCTTCCTCTTTTAACACAAAATTGGGACAGTTTTTTGGGTGTTGGCTTATACATGGGAAATCACGTTTTTATTCGAATGACAATTTTTTCAGCATTGTATTCCTAATTTAAAGCCAATATTTGATGTTTTTTTCGGAGAATATTTGTAAATGTCAAACCTTACTTTTGCCCAAGGAAAGGCTTGTACATAAAATTGGACATAAAGTAGTGGGGAGGTGGGAGGGGGTTGGCTTATACCCGAGGTGGGCTAATACCCAGTAAACTATGGTAATTAGATGCAAATTACATTATTATAAGTATTGCATATAAAATATAGTATAATTACTGTAGTGTGTTCCTATATAGGCTAATACTGTAGTTTAAGTATGGATATGACTCTAGTCTATTTGTAATAAATTATTTTCCAATACATGTGGATGAGTGGTAGTTCACACTATATGACTTGCGTTAATTTCAATAAATGGATGTTTTTATTTATTTCTAGATGTGGATGAATGCGGCAGTTCAAACTGTGAACATGACTGTGTTAATGCAGAGGGCGGGTATAAGTGCGAATGTAGGCCTGGATTTGTGTTGTCAGCTGATAAACAGAAATGTGTCGGTAAGTCTATAAAAAAAATGTTATACAATATTGCTATTTATAATATAATTCATTGCTACTAAGAATTAAAGCGGTTGTCACGGCCAACTGTCAGTCAACACAGTGAGCGCCCGGCTTTATTTCCATTATTAGAATTGTATAGGTCAAATTCCTACAAAATTTCAACTCTTGGCCTACAATTTTAAACTTTTAAGCTATTAAAAAATATTAAATTATATCAACATTTACAATAGATCAGAAAGAGAAAATAATTAAAAGACCGAAGAAAATCGTCATTGTAATATTGTTATCCGCAATTGTGTTAGCAGCAGTATGCGTCCTTGCCTCCATCATTGTCATTAACGTGTTTAATATAGTCTACCATCTTTATGTTGTGCGGTTTATCCCAATGCTATCAGGCTAGTAGTGCAATAAACTTCATTCTGCCGCGATTATATCTTAAATGCTGTGGTATGTTTATTTTTAGATGCTTTTAGTATCCTGCTTATGAATCACAGCCTTAATACAGAGTACATTAACACAGGGGGAAATGTTACCTGTACACTAAAAGTGACCTGCTTGGTACAAGGTTCATTGTGATTTGACCATTATAGGAGCTTCCTGTCACCTTATACCCACATATACATTATCAGATTTTTGTCTGTTAGATTCAGACAGACAGTGTGTTTGCTCAAACATTTAAAACTTATTCATGTTTAAGCCCTTTCTAGGTTATCAAATTTTCTTTGACAAAACACTGTTTTATACCCATATATAGTTATGATGTGCCTATATATGGTAATTATGTGATGTCATTATGACCATGTTTAGGCATGCCGCAGGGCTTTAAACATATCTGATTTTTCATTTTATTTATTTTGTCATAAGAAAAACATACAATCATGACACGAGAAAATACATACAGACAGAAAAATAGCAATTGTTAAAAACCCGACTGGATAACCAAAAAGCGAAATAAATCACTGTAGAGTGGTTCTCCAAGTTTAAAAAACAATACATAAAAACACTTAAAGTATTATTCCTAAATATAGGAAATATAAATTTAAATTATATATCCTACTTCTGTATGTACAGTGAAAGATTTAAAAACAATTAAAGTAGGAACAAAAAATTTAAAGCATTGCACTACTTAAAATCACGCATCTTTGAATGGTTGTTAATTGTTTCTCATGAAACAAGTTAGAAAGTAGATAATGCAGATACAACTATTAATCTTTTTTTTTGCACATACTTGAATATATTCTTTTAAAAAAAAATTATTTACAATACATATTAATCATCCAAATTTAGGAGTGAGAGTTGCCTTCCACACCGGATGGTTCTTTTGAGCTAACAAAATTTTCAGCAAATCGTTTAAATATTTGCTACAGCAAGGACTGCAGTGCACTGCCAATTTTAAACGATATATTTAAACGTACGAGTAATAATAATAATCGAAATTTTGCTTAACAATGAAGAAATATTTTGTTGTATCAGATAACATTTTCATAAATTAATTTATTGAGCAGTATGCTTATTAATGATTGTGATTGTGATTCTGAAATGACAGTGTTAGGGCTGATAGTAACCTTTTGATTGATTTAAATGAAATGTTTGTTTTTACAGATGAAGATGAGTGTTCTCGTAGTGATTTTCCGTTATGTCATCATATTTGCACCAATACGATTGGAAGTTATCGCTGTTACTGCAGACCAGGATTTTACTTGCATCCAAATGGAAAATCATGCATTGGTAAGATTTTATTTAAATGCTTTTAAAAAAACAAAAAAAACTTGTTTCTTGCCCCAAATAGTAGCCTTTTTCAGACCGGGCCATAGAATGAAAAAATAGATAAGTAGATGAAAACTCATTTGAATTACCTAAAGGCCATAGTATGTAGGGCTCAAATGTATGACTGTCGACCGAAGAATTCAACTATGCTCCCTGTGATCACTAGATAATGCCACGCCATCTGCTGATTGTCGGCGGGTGTTTGAATGAATAAGGATTCGTTGGGAGTGCGTTGTAGTGTTGCATTCTTCATAGAATCGCATTGGTCGACGAACGTTGGGTGCGGTGTGTGCTCGGCTTTACCCTCAGATTTCACTTACGCCCTCTCACTCAACCCCTTTGATACATCTATGCCCACCAAGGCCAACAACTATTAAAGGTAAAATTATTTGTAATCAGACATCTTTATACCCAAAAGGTCATAAGTTCTGGGGCTTCTTTCCTAGACCACTATTTTTTACTCTACAACTTGACCCCAATTCGGTCCTTATTTAGCCCTAGATCTAAGTTGTTGGCCCCAGCAGCTGTGCATTTTCAGGGGGCCAGAGACAAGTTCTGTAGCCCTGGAAATCAAAGCATCCTTATAAGCAATCAGTATCGATATGTTTCTGGATAGGGGTCTTGGCTTTTGAGAATTTAACATTATTGAGAGTGAAATAATGAAAAAGAATACTAACACCACCAGAATACGTACATCTGTTACTTGCCAATCATTTAATTCCACTATCTTAAATAAATTTAGATTTTCACCATCTTTGCCTCTCAAGGAAATGAAAGAGAAAGAACGAATTCAGCTGCGAGTCATTAATTAAATAGAATTTGATTGACATTTTTTTCTTGCCAAGTCTAATATGTCATTTCTAATTTTTAATATTTTAAATGACAGAAGTTCTATTTAAAGATTGTCAAACATAAAATTTGATGTGTTGTAAGCCCTGTTTCTTCTGCTACAATTTAACCATTTTATTTTCATGGTTATCAAAGAACCAATGTTAAATTTCGCGTAAGTGCGGCCTAAAATGCAATCGTTATGGTATTAGCTTGCTGCTAAACCATTTATTTTGGCCCATTTTTTCAGCTGCATTGCAAACACAATACTATGTTGGCCATGACCAATCAGTGAACCAAGTTCAAATTTTTTTTTTTGGCGGATCCTGATGCACGGCAGATAAACGCAAAGATACCTTCTTGTATAGTAACGTGTAGCATATACTGTAGGGCCATAGCATTAGGCAACCATTTTAACCTTCAAGCTAAAGTTACCAGCTTCACTTCATTTTGGTATAATTCATCAAAAGTAGACTTATTCATTGAGCAAAGTTCATATGATGTCTCATAGTAAGCGTTAAATAATGTGATTGGGGTCAATAGGTCAATCTCTACTTACCATAATGCTAAAGAAATCAAATGTTCAGACAATGTAAATGAGATCTTAAGCTTTATGTTGTCTGCCTGCTTTATTATTTATAGTTCCTGAGCTCTTTTTAGAGTGATTCTGCATCAACAAGTCTGCCTGATATTCTAATATCCTAATTTTGTGAATGCAAATAATATGAATTCAAACTTTCACTGTCACTCAGTCAATCAGGTATTGATCAATTTATTGATTAATCAGTCAATGAACTGATCAATCATGATGAATCTAAAATACTGGGGTTGATATGGGTGCTTTTAAATTGATCAATATATTGATTATGATCCATTGGTTGTCAATAATCAATCAGCCATGATTGATCTATCGATTAATCAAATTAATTTCTAAACTAAAATTTTTTGGCCAATGTATGCAGAGTAATACTTATGTACAGTGTGTATAAAAAGTGTTTGCAGATAACAGAAGCGCAGTATTTCAATAAATAGAAATGCAACAAATTCAGAAAAAAAATATGTTGCATAGAAAATTGTGCATAAATTTTTACATAAAAAGAGATATTACATCAAGTAAAAAGTATGCATAAATTTTTACATAAAAAGAGATATTACATCAAGTGGACTATAAATGAATCATTAGTGAAAAGGGGAAGCACATTTATTTAATAATTACTTTTAATGTACTCAAAGCATAATAACAGTAGGTAACAAAATAACAAGTCATGAGAATTAAAAACTTAGCTAACTGTGCTGTTCCATACTGTCACTAACTGTCTGTCTGCCTTCTCAAAATTTCATTTTATTTTCTTTGGAATTTTTAAAAAAAGTTAATCTGTAAAATATACAGTAGCTCATTAGCATATTGATAGCATCCTGCTTAGATGTTTGCTACTCAAGATAAAACTCTCAGAATTCAGTACATACATCAAAAGTACATCAAATAATGTAAAATTATTTGCATGGTTATTGTCAAAAATCTCTCGAATCATGTTCCACTCGCAGGGAACCTTCACGATGCGGTGTTCAAATCCCAAGCCTCATAACCATCATTCAGCATGTATTTGTCAGACAGGCAGGATTGAAATTAGTAGTTGGCTTTAAAGAGGATAAGTTGGAAAGACTGTGCAGACATTTTTAAATCCCCTGTTAGTGTTTTTATCTCGGATCTGTCTTCCGTCTGTGAGGAGTAACCCCATACGGCCTGGCATGATTTGTAGAAACTGAAATAAGTAATTTGATTTTGAAAAGACATTTAATGCTCTAAAATATACCTACTGTTAATACTAATTCCTGATGATGACATAATATTCAACTATTGAATCCCAACATGATGGCATTTATTTCAATACTTCAAATACTCTTACCTGAAATTAATCAGTGGACCTTTCGGATTCAATTACCATGATGGTATTCATCAAGTATATTTATTCCTTTAGTATTGAATAGGATTGGATTTATTCGGTGTGAACACCAAGTTTAGCCCACGAAAGTTTAGAAGAAGACTTATTTCCAGTGGGGTCCTTCTGGTGGTGAGACAATCCCCTACTCTTTTCTAAAGAGTGCACTGCGTTTTTAACGTGCACATGGGCCATAAATGCACACAGGACCAACGGGTTAAACGTCTCATCCGAAAGACGGTGCGCTGTTGTAACTTGTATTTTAGCCCTCCGGCTGAAACACAAGGACAGGCAGCGATGGGAATAGAACCGGGGACCTAGAGGTCTCCACGGTTCAGCGCACACACAGTGGTTACCACCAGATTAGCCGACTGATCTAAGCTGCTCTCATATGAGCTAAGCGGTCTCATAATAATCATGCATATGCATTTCTTTGAATGAATAATTATGAATATTCATTCTTTTATTAAATGTACATTATTCATATTCATTTCTTTAATATCTGATTATGCATTCATTTTTTGGCAATAATTATTCTTTATGCATATTTGTTCCTTTATTGATATTCATTATGGCAATAAATATTCATTGTTCATTCATTTGGTAGTGAATATTCATATATGTGTATGCATTCTCTTTGTAATAATAGCAAATAATTGGAAGAATGCTATAGCTCAGTGGTTAAGGTGCTTGACTTCCAATACCAAGGTATTGGCTCCATCCAAGCAAAACATGTCAGGATTTTTCTCACAACCGAAAAAAGAAAAACTCCATAGGCGTTTAATTAATTGTTGAATCAGTGGCATACTGTATCTATGGTGGACTTGGGGTGCACACTCCCCCAGTTTCCCAAATTTTTTAAAGCAAAAAAAAATAATGCTCGTGTAGTTAAAATTCACACCATATCACCTTATTTTGCCAGCTAACATCTCCTCACTTTAACCTTTACACTGCCATCAGCTAACTTCCCCACCTCATGTCACTTAGTTTAATGAAGTCTTTTATTTAATTGATTTGATTGATTTTTGTTTTAAATCTTTTTTGTTGTTGTTAAGTGCATAGAGGCAGTTTCTTGTAATATGTGCTATATAAATAGCAATTTATTATTATTATTATTAAAAACTTTTTTATTTATAGATGTTGATGAATGTCTAAATACCAATGGTTTAAGCCAACCTGCTTGCCACCACAGCTGCAGGAACACGCATGGCAGCTTCCAGTGTCTCTGTCGTGTCGGCTTCACGTTGATGGAGGATGGCAGCACATGTGCAGGTACCTCAAGATGATAAATGTGATAAATCTATTTTTAGAATGATGTCATTGACATTTTCAACATGTGTAGGCATCAAATATAGACTTGGATATTATACCAAATATGTTGTCATTGTAGGTTTTTAACATTTAGAATGAAGTGAATGAAGTTTTTAACAATATTTGTATAAAAATGAAAATGATGATGATTTATGACATTGAGATAGTAAAGGAACATATATTGGGATGTTAATGATGTTATTATATAAAATTCATAGAAACATGTGACAAAGACAAGCCTAACCAGTCACTCCTCGAAAAAAAAAATTAAATTTTAATTATTAATGCAGGCTATTTACAGCTTTTGTCGACCCATTTACATCCTTCAACTTTCCTAAAATAATGGTTGTTCCTTTAGGTCATCTAATATTCATTTACTTTCATTTCTTTTTTGCTCCAACACTGTAACTATTAGATACATATAATTTTCATTGGCAGTACTCTCAGTTTGAAATGTACCAACAATCCGATTTGAAAAATCAACATCCATTGCTTTATTTAAAGAATATTTTAGGAAAAACCTTTCCACTATTAAAGTGTCACGCTAAAGTCGGGTCTTTTAAATGGCGCTAAATAGATCTCTACCGTTTTTTAATATATGTATTTTAATATTTATGTTAGTTTTTATTTTCTATATCATACTGTCATAATTATGGCTAATGCTCATGTTTTCTATTATAAGATGTCAATGAATGCGAGCAAGCCAACCGTTGCTCAGGACGATGTATAAATACAATTGGCTCATACACTTGCTCATGTGGTCAAGGATACGCCAATCAGGGATCTCGATGTGTTGGTAAGATGCAGTGTTAGAACTGATTAAGTCTATAAGTCTATCTTTCCTTTGAGTTATACTTAACATTTTATTCTATATACTTAATTTATTTTTTTAATCTTTTAAATATTTTAATTCTCATACAATTTGTGGTACTTCATTTTAATTGATCAATTTTAATTAATTTATTATGATTTGATTATTTATAAATTCATCATAATTGTATTACTTTTTAAGTAGTTTTTTGCAATTCATTGATTTATATAATGGATTAGTTTGTGCAAAAATTTATATAGCAGGATGTGGAACTCCCTAGAGTAAGGGGATTTATTTATTTTATCAAGGTGGCATTTATCAAGGTGACCCAGTCAGTCGGGAGGTTTGCTTCCTGTGTGACCATGGAAAATATCACCATGACATTAAAATATATATACTATAAAACTATAATTAAATTTAAAATACATACTATCACTTTATGATTTAATTTATAACTATAAAATTTATATAAATATATATACTAGAAAAATATTAAATTTAAAATTCATGAAATTTATTTAATTTTGAATGTGTTGACTAAGTTTGCACCTTCACCATTTATATGAAGGTTTATAATATCCTGTTAAGCTTTGTCTACACTATCAACTTGTGTGTGACCAATTTGTGTGATGTGCCCATATATGGGCATGATGATCTAATATTACACCCAAATATGGGCACATCACATTTATTTGTCACATAAAATTTGGTTTGAGTAGACAGAACTTTAGAAGTAATTGTTTTAAATGATTAATGTAACGATGATGGAATCAAAGGTATGTGCCACTTTATGTAGCAATCCACGCTTCTAATCACTTCCAGTATATATAGTCTATGGCGCAGGGTTTGGGAGTTTTGTCTACAAGGCACAAAAGGTACCAAAATTATCGTAATACATTACTTTTAATCGCTGACCCACTGTTCTGAGAATTATATTGCTGACCATGTTAGCAACCTCACTTCATGCTAGGAATAATTAATGTTAAAACTTATGATTTTGATTTGCAGATATTAACGAGTGTGCGACACCTGGTAAGGGAGGCTGTGCGGGTACGTGTATCAACACAGAGGGCAGCTACTTTTGCTCCTGTGGGTATGGCTTCCAACTTGGTCAAGATGGTAGAAGCTGTCAAGGTAAGCACTAAGCTTCTGTATTTGAATTTTCTATATTTTAATTAATATTTAGTTGAGCCAGTGGTGATTAAAGCATAATTTCCATAAAATCGCTTCACTGTTGGTACAGTGTTGTCATTGCAATCATCTCGCTGCGTAGGTGTCCACAACAAAATCGGGAAGGACCCCAAATTCAACCGACGAATCAGCGTTGTGAAACCTGCTGGCAATAGTGTGAATCGATTTTACATATTTGGGTATAATAGTTGTAGCAAGATTAAACCAATTAATTAAGTACTGTAATTAATTATATTAACCTGAAAGTACTTTTTTTTTTATAGTAAATGCAAGTAAATGAAATAAAATATAATGGTAAAATAAATGAATTATAATGAAAACAATCAACTATTACAAAAATGCACTATACCACACTTTTATTGCTAAGGTTCTTATATTGGGTTTATTGCAAAAGAGAGTGGTAGTAGAAAAATTAGATTATAATTACTTCAAACTAATTTAATTTTATCAGAGGTCTGCTTTATGTTAGTTGCAAATGAACGCAGTCAGTATCAGTGGTCTGTGTTGTTTTTATTTACAATTTCTTTCTCTCCAGACATTATGTTCTAATAATTCTTAACGGATATACAGTATGTTACTGTGTATCTTTATGTGTGGGTATTGGCATTATGTGTGTATGTTATAAAGAGATATATAGTTGCTTTTGAAAAATGTCAGAAGACAGATATTTGTTATATTTCACATGAAATTTATTTAAACTTTAGTTGGTTTACGACATCATAATTGAATTGGTTCTGATTCATATTTTTTTCTGGCTTAAACTTCAAATTTTCTTGTCCTTCTTTTTCTAATATTTCTCTTTTTACTAAAGAATGTTTAGACATCTTCAGAGACTACAAATTATGATATCAAACTCGAGGTTTTCTTTCTTTTTCCTGACATGTTGCTTCAATGCCCAGTGGACAGCCAATGGCTGAGTCTTGTGGGGAAAGGAACTCCCTAGTCTACTGAATTATTGAATAAGCAGCCGCTGTCCTATTTCAAGTGTGTTACAGGCTACGATGTCGCTGATTTTGCTTTTTTAATGTTTTAATATTTTCTGATTTTACCCCTCTGAACTTTGTAATAGTTTGGAAAAACATGGGTCACTTTGACTCAGCAGAAGCCCCTTTCTTGACATTTAAATTTTTGAAGTGAAAATTAGAAATGCAAAAATCAGGATATAAAAGAACCCAAACGGTTTTAAATTATTTATTAATAAGGTTGAACAGGAAACATCATATATTTACACTTAGCTAGATCTCCTTCCTTCAAACTTGATTCAAAGAAATAAAAATAAGCAATATGAAATACAAAAATAAGACCTTAACTTAAACTTGTGGCAGGAAACGCTACAAGACTTGCTTCAATGATTATGAGAATATTTTCTTGTGGTACCGCGATAAAAATAGACTGTCTGGTTTTTTAGCACTTTAATAAATTGAATTAAAATTTTGGTACCTCTGTAATGCAAGAACAGTTCTTTCCAAATAGTCCAGGTTTCTTAACTTCATTAATGAAAAGTAAATTATTATTAGAAACTTACAGTGGATGTATAAATACAGAATACTTAAATAAAAGTGCCATGTCATGCTTAAAACCTCATTTTCATGTCAAATAATTTTACTAATTTCTAGTAAACTTAAACTTCTCAAATGATAATAGGTAGTTTTTCGCCACACGACTTTAACCTTAACTTTAACGTTAGTACCCAACATGCAGCGCGAAAGCTCCACCCTTTTTATAAACAAATCAAAATACGCATACGCAAACCCGTAACTAACGTACGTCGAGCACGTAAAATCTTGAAATCAACATACTCCACAACGCAAGATGAATAAATTATGACGTTATCCATTAACATTAATCTTAACGTCGTGCTTTGAAAACTGCTTATTATTATTGTGTTTCACTTAGCATATAATATGCGTACCCTTTCCCTTCATCTATATGAAATTGGATCCCATGGTCGAAATGGCTCCCCGTATTAAGGCGACACTTTTTTTATACTTGTTTAGCAAATCTGCTGCCTCCCCCAATAATGATAATTTTGAAATAAAAAAAATTATATTTTTGGCCAATTAGCGCACCTGCCGCCAAGTCCTCATAGAAAGTCCAGTCATGAACTAGGCCATACATGTTGTTTTTTGTTGTTTACATGCCTACGTTTTCGTACAAGATGATTTTGCCATTCACCCTAGACCTGAGAGTTGGCATGAGACAAGATTTTCACATTGTTATTTATTCTGTTTTACTGCGAGCAGAAGGTGCTGTAGACATAGAATCCCTGCTGGAAGTTGAATTATTTTATCAGTGTTAAAATCATGGTCAAATTGATGACAAATTTGTTTTTTGACTGGGGAAAGCTATTAAGAAATGGGGTACTTAATTATATGAACGTTTTGACCCCAGCGATCTTTATCAACTGGCTGCTTCGGTCATTACTGCTGCCTGGTCATGACATCATCTGTTGATGATTTTGTACACTATCCAAGTTGTAAATTGAAGGTTGTGCTCGAACCTGTCCTATATGGTGATGTTGCTATTAGCTCATGTGTGCCTTTATAGTTGCAGACATTCCATAACACATATTTCTTGTAAATCTGCTGTAGACATTTTATAACCTGGATATTTCTAAACACAAAATCTTGTTTATGAAATGTCCAATTTGCAAAATATTCACAACAGAGTTACAAAAATTCTGGGATACGAAAAGTATGGGCGACAAAATATCAACAACCATTGCATTTATTCCTGTTCAGTGTTTATGACATTCTGGTCTTGGTTCTTTTGAGTATGTTGGGCTACCCAGTTTGGTACATGATTATGGTGACTGGCATGTCTGTTAAATTAGCAGATTTGTGGTTGATTGACATGTGCAAACCGGTTATTACCCCCTTCATTCTAAAACAGGAGTTGTACATCATGACAAGCAGTTAGTTGATAAGAACTCTGTATTTTATCTTACAGAATGAAAAAAAAAACCCTTCTCACTGTATTATCCAAACTCCAAGTTTTGTCCATCAAATTCATAAAGAATTTTATACTAGTTAACTTGCATTTTAAAGTCTTGGTGAACTTAAGGAAGGTCAGATAAAACCCCTGCTGAGAACAAATTTTTATAAGCCGATATTATCTCTTTCTGAAAGTTTAAATAGATAAGTAATTATGCGTAAATTATTGGTTGATTGATAGCACCCTCTGGGTTTCTCTCCCTCTCCCCAAGCAAGTTAACAAATAAGTGTGCCGGATAACTGAGTGGATTTACAGTATTAAATCAATCAATCAATCAATCAATCAATCAATCAATCAATCAATCAAACAATCAATCAATCAGTGGTTTAATCAATCAACTAACCAGTATTTCAATTATTAGTCAGTCACAATCCATCAATTCATCACACATATTATTAATCAGTACACAATTGGAGGATATGATTGGGAAATCAAACAAAAACCACCCAGGTTAAAAACCACCTGGACGAAGACCACCCCATTGTTAAAGTGGGGTGAACAATGTTTGGTGGGCCTGTTTTTATCAGCTGTACAATAGAATAGTTTACACTGTGACTTGCTATTATATGCCTTTAATTCATTCAACTGTTTTGACAACATGCATGTTAATAATCCTTATGTACGTTAATAATCATTGTAGATTTCAGTAATCATGAGTGGCCTTGATTGACCTTTTTGTTACCTATCCATTTCCCCCCTTGTATTGTCTTCTTACCTGTGAAAAAATAATTTCCTGGGACTTTTGAAAGATATGATCGGAAGTTATTAGTGATTTTAATTGACGGTACTGGTATGTCTGTCTTCACTTGGCCCGTTCTCACTTTTCAGATGGAATTAATTGTTTTGAAAGATATTAAAAAAATTAAAGATGATCTTCATTCTAAACATAGTAGTTTTGATATTAACCTTTGTCTTTACCTGGCTCCTCCCCCCCCCCCCCCCTTATCTTAGCATGTGAACAAATTTGTTTCAAAGGACATTAGAAAAAAAGTAAAGGATATAATTTTAAGAATTTGTGTATGTCTTTACATAGTTCCTTCTCTATCTTCCGGTAAAATAATCATTTAAAAGGAGTCATTTCATCAATTATGGCCTCACTTCGAAATGTAGAGTCAATTATGGTCCCGCGTCTGTCATTTTTCGGAGTCACCATACTCATATTCTATTTGCGTATATTCATTTTATCCTTTGGTAATTGTTATATGGTTTTACATTGCGAGATTTTGTCTGAGTTTTTTTTATTATTGACAAATATCCCTTCCCTCGTTCCATGTAAGGTGAATTGTTTAAAGGACATCTGTAACTTAATTTTCAATACACATTAGTCAAACAGGAAAGTGTGGGTAGTAGTAAGATCTTAACAGATGTTCTGTAAAAAAACTCTACATTTACTCTGTGATGATGATGCCCTAATTCTGCTGTGACTCTTAGAGGGTTGGTCCAAAATTGAGTGAGGTTAGACTACTGTAGCTAATCTCTGTGACTCAGTCACAATTAAACATTCTCGTGGTAGTGTATCATATGGCAGAGGTCCCTGGTTCACATCCTTATGAAGATTTTTTTTTTTAGGCGAGACTTTTTGTATACCTTGTTTAGTGAACCCTCCGACTGCCAATAATTGTGATTTCAAATAAAAATGGGGTTAGGAGGGATTCGTCGGGGGATAAAAAAAAATTAATATTATAGAATGTTAATATTAAATATTGGCCTGAATTGGGAAGACCTATATAAATTAACAGTTTGGACGCCGATGAGATTAAAAAAATACGCCATCCTCAGGTCAAGATGTGCTGTATGAGCGTCTAGCAGCTTATTATTTTAAAGAATTTTTTAATTGTGAAGGGAAATACACCCCTCCCAAATCCTCCCCTCGGCCATAGGCCCTCGGATGGCGCTACGCGTCAAAGTACAACACTTGCCCTGCCTATCACGGGTGTTGCCCTGTCATCGGGGAAATCCTAGCGCAGCCATCGTTTATCAATCTAATTCTACTGTTTACATTCATCAATAATACTTTTTATTTTCTCTTCGCCTAGTTGCTTTTACAAAAATCGTTTTGCTAAATAGGAAAACACTCTCATGATCTTTAAAAATATAAGTTCACTAAACAAGGTATTAAATAGTTTAGCCTTACATAGCTGTGTATTGACTGGACAGATATTGTTCTAGAATAAAAAATAGAATTCAAAGAGGAAACATGTATAAACATACAATAACTATAGTAGAAACCACTGTGGATTATTTGTGTGCCATCATAATGTAGGAGTCCTCTAACTAAGGAGTTAAAACTGTTTATATAATAAATTGATTTATTATTCTCCTCCTGAATATTCATTTGTTTATGAATTGATCAATAATCATTGTCTACAGTTGCCATTGTTAATTTTCTCATTTGCATACTGGTGTAGCATATTCATTAATTACTGTCTCATATTAATGTGTTGACATCCTGGAGAAGACTCAATACAGGTTAACATTAAGAACCATGCTGCCTCCCTGTTTTCATGATGTTGCATTTTTAATGTTGTTTATAGAGTTCACTCAACAGTCAGTGCCAGGTTTGTGTTTGCCTATTTTTAACTACACTGTTTTAATATACTGTATGTTTTCTGTTTACATAAATTAGTTTTATCTTTCACTTGTTTATTGTATAATGCAGTACAGGTTTCCCAAGTTATTAGAAACTATTTCCATGAGATCCGGATAAATGAGCTTTCATACATCTAATTTTAATTAATTTTTTAAATTTTTAAATTTTTTTTTTTTATTTTTGACTTTGAATTTCCTTTTAATTGCACTCCTTTTCATTTTTCTATAATTTTCTTGCAAGCGCATAGAGGCTCTAGCAGTACGCGCTATACAAGCACAGTTAATAATAATAATTATTATCATTAATTATTATTATTATTATTATTATTATTATTATTATTATTATTATTATTATTATTATTACTAATACAATAACTAAGAACAAATTAGGGAGATGGGGGGATTAATGATTTGAGAAGTTTTTTGAATGCTTGCGGCCATGCATAGCCCAGCCATCCCAATTTGATTTTATTTCTACTGTTTTTTATCTTTCAATTTTGATGCATAATATTTTAGTTCCTTATCATAACTTTTCTACTGCACACTGTCTAATTAGAATATTCTTTCTCTTCTTAACAATGCTGTTTTTGATGCAGGATATTATGTTGCTTCCTATTACTGCATTTTTCCAAAAAAAGATGTATGATATTTGAGTTCCTCTTTTAACTTTCTTTTATTGCACACAATCTAGTTAGAATATGTTTCCCTTCTTAACATAATGCTGTTTTTGATGCAGAATATCGTAGTGCTTCCTTTATTACTGCACTTACATCGATTGCTTGGGTACTGTTCTTCAGATATTAAGGAGTGTCACATAGTGTTGTTATATCAGCGACATATTACTATATGGATGTGCATTTGTTTATATGTGTATTTCATTAGATGTGGGCCTAGCTCAAACCATAGAGATGCAGGGGACACCACAATGACCTTGTACACAATTTCAAAGCCTCTCATGGTAGTATCTGCATAAAATAGATTAATTTCTCTTTTCATTCACTATGTTCGTAAATATTTTGGCGCTGGTACAGTTTAAGTGTAAGCCAAATTAACATATTTTGATTATTTAATTATTACCTAAAATATGAAAGTATTTTAGATGGTTACATATTGGTCCAATACTATTTGATTATTGTTACTGGAAGAGTTGTCCAAAAAATGGTTTACTGTATTAATTCACTTTGCATTCCTGTCAGGTAATAATGGCTGACATTAGTGTACATTTGTAATTTTGTGTACTTTATATGCAAAGTTTGTGATCTGGTAATTTGTAAGTGAACTTCAATTGTCCTTGAGCAAGTGCAATATACTCAGTGTGGTATACTGTACTACAAAAACATTTTCTTTCACTTTTTTGCTTCTAATACCCAAGTGAGTAGTTACTTACTATGAGAATAGACAATTTAATATATAACTTCTGTACGACAGAAGACATGCTTTGAAAACTGATTTTAAGGTCCCATAAAAATTAATCGTTAAATTATCATTCCTGCCCACATCAATTTTGGGAAAATCCAGATTTTAGAAAAAAATTTCTTTCGCTCCTCCTTTAAGTTTTTTTTACTCTCCAGAGAGTTGAATCTGACGCTGTAACTTGACCTGAATTAGCATCTTTTCTTTTTAGTATCAGTGAATGAATGAATACTGAAGGTTTTAAGTGTATAAAATGTAATCATAATTTTTATATATTATGTGGTGTATAAATACAAGATACCATCTAAATTCCGTATAGGAAGAAACCAAGAAGATGATGTCATTGTCCGACCTCACATGACGAGTCACCATAACGAGTAATGAACAAAAACCAAAATATCAATGAAAAAATAAAGAGTGAACGACAGCGATCGAAAGAAATTAAAATGTAGACAATGTGTAATATACAAGCCATTTGAATTATGGGAAATTTTAACCTCTGAACTCATTGAAAATACATACATCTGATTGGTTATCTATCATCTGATAGAAATGTGGTCAATTGCTAACTGAAAGCACCTGGTAACTGATAGTGCATCTACTTCCTGGAAATGGTTAGAGCTAACTGATCGGGCGTTCTCACGCGCGCTGTAATGGTGAGGGGTAACGTTCAGCTCCTGATCTGGATGTTGAGGCTCTAGTGTGAACCTAGCCTCTAGCAATCAGGCTTAACGTCTTGCATACAGTAGGATGTCCTCAATAAAGTATCTTGGTAGCGATGTGTTTTTGAGGATTTACTTGACTTGAGGTAGAGACATTTGTGGTCAGTCATAGACTAGCAGGAAGCTTTGTGATTGACAGGTCTCATTCAGTGACCACATGATGCTTAATTTTGGAATGGATTTTTGGTTAATTGTCTTGCCAAGTCTTTTATTAGGTTTTTCAAAAATTATCCCCTGCAGATTGGCGAGAAATCAGAATTTAAACACAATTATATTTAGCTAATTTTAGACACTTTTTAGAAAGGCTGATGTTTCTCATCTAGTTTTTTTTTTATTAAGAGAAATATTAGGCAACTTTTTTCTTTTATTCCTTTACAATGATAGAAATAACATAGAGAATTTTGTTATACATGTACTTAAATCTGCAGTAGGCTAGTCTGAAATACACAAGTATTTATTACTGATGTGCAGTATTTTTCTGGGTGGTTTACCCGGTGCGAGTAAAATTATTATTAACAAAGCAAGATATGATTTTAAAAAAACTGAGAAAACCTATCTACTGTAATTCAAAACAATGACTTCGAAAAAACATCAAAATTTTGTGATCTATAAATGAGAAAGCGTTATTTAAAATAATAATTAATGTACAGTAATCATATACCATAATATGAATGTGTACAGTCATAGTTTTTTTCTTACAATTTTCAAAGTATTTTCTCTGTGATTTAATTATTATCTTTAATCATATCAATGAAATAAATATTTCTCCTCGACCAAAGAAATAGAATACAATGAGTACAAAACTTTGATATGAATGTAGCTTTCCAGTGGCGTTCATTCGTCAGGAGAAATAATAATATGAACGATGTTTGCCCTAGCAAATGTGTTATCGTACTGAATGCTCAGTAAGTTCCCAAGTACTAGCCAAAAAAAAAAAAGGATTTAATGTAGGTTTTAATGCAAGTTAAAAATAGATATTACAGTAGAGTAGTTTTAACTACATAGGCAACATTGCATACAAATTGTCAGCTAAGTTTATCTCTCTGATCTATTTAGTTTGATTTCTGAAATTGTTGAAACATTCAGTAATAAGACAGCGATGTGTCATACTTTATTCAGAGCCAGCTCAGTGATGTGTATGATAAGGATGTTAAAATAAGATTGTGTTAATAATGACCCTCAATTATCAAATTATCGAATGTATGAGTAATGTATTCTTCATGTTTCTATACAAAATTTTGTTCCTCATTTTATGAAAATGAAATAAAATATATATTATAAAACAATCATTTTTATGTCTTAGATTTAATAAAAAGTTTTTGTTGTCGAAACTTGACTGATTCTGAAAATTCCAGGGTCAGCTATTTTTTTTTCATTGCTAAAATATTTATTTTTTTTATCACAAGGAGTTTTTAATACTACTATTGTATATTATGTGACACTCTTCAAGCTTCAATATATTTTATAATTTGATACCTTATTAACCATGTCTACCCAACATTCTCCACCCCACTTTAACAATGGTATAGTCCATTTTGGGCGGGTTTTGTCCGGTTAATAATAATAATAATAATTTATAAAGTGCACAAATCCACAGCAGTTAGTGCTCAAGGTTATTTTCGTGGGTGGTTTTGTCTGTTTTCCCAAAAATATATTGGGGGAATGATGGTTAGTCACTAACATTAGAATCAGGCCTAGGCCAACAGTACCACGTATTAAAAAAGAAAATCTGGATTGACACCAATTTCAAATTGTAACTGTATGGTACTTGGGCAGTGCAACCGTTTCTTGGCCTCACATTGGATTATTACATTAATTTTAAATTTGAAAAGTCCTTGTTTTTCTTCCATAATTTTGGCTTGAAACTGGCCTCCATTAATTCAATTGAAGAATATTTATATTTGAAAAAAATGGTGGCATTGGCCTAAAAAAGCAAGAGGCGTAGCAGGATGTCAACAATTATTACAAAATGTAACAAAATCTAAAAAGAAATGAAAACAACAAATAAAAATGAAATGGGAAATTAGAAAACATGCACACGGATAATTGGATTAAATAAACTATCATTTTTCTTAACCCAAAATGCCACTTACTAAGACAGGTTGCTGAACTTTGAGGTTTAGTTAATCAAACTTGTAGATTGGATTACTTCAGTAAACGCACTATTAAAAAACAAAATTTAAAATATTTTTTTTTGCAGATGTAAATGAATGTAGTGCTTATGGTCAACAAGTTTGTGAAAAGGGCTGCAAGAACATGGATGGATCTTTTCATTGTGTGTGTCCAGATGGATACAGACTACACTCTAATAAACGCAACTGTGTTGGTAAGTTACTAGCAAAGCTCATAGCACCCAGTGTACAATTATGTGTTTTAGGCTTAGGGACGGACTGGGATTCATGTAATTACCGGTTCAGAAACTTAATGGAGGGCGCTGAGTGCTAGAGCAGCGCCCATGTTGCATTTAGAGACTATTCAATATCATATATAACCACTCCAGTTGTATTATTTCTGTATGCAGATTAATATTATTTTTGTTCGGTATTATTTTATCTCAATTATCATTTTTTCCTTTCAAAAATGATGTTAAAACTTGAGGCGCATCTGTCTGTGACCTGATGGGATGATAGACCAACCTGCCACTCTTAGGCCTCTCAAACAACCTTGGTACCATCAGCTTCATCAATCATTAAAAAACATAAATCAAAACATGTAAACAAATCAGTCAGTCAATGTCAATCTTGCTTGTGTCCATCATTAAGACACTTTAATGTTAATTACCTCGTCCTTCAGGTTGAACGTTAAACCTCTGGTTTTGTGTACATAATGAGTCTGCACGAAAAACAACCCAATACAGTATACTTCCTGTATATGCGTACATGTGTTGTGTTGTTTTGTGAAGTGGATGTTCATTAATATGCAAGACAGTAATGTATTCCCTTGTCCCACATGCCTAAGTGTGTACAGTCAATCATTAGTTAACTAACATTTTTTGTAGACATGCTTTTCAATATTTTAGTTTGAAAGGCGCCACCAAGTAGACATAATGCCAGTTGCACATTGAAAGTAAACACAAACAAGTCAAATTTAAACTTACAGTAGGTTATTACACAGTACTTCACTAAGCTGCCATTGCAGTGCTTGTGCAGTTGCGGTATTGCTGCCAGCATTGTAAAGATGTACAATACATAAAATTAGAATATCTGCAAGTACACTTGTCCATGGCTAATCTGTAACCCCCTGTAAGACAAATATTCTTGTTCGTGGCAACTTTAAAAATGTGAAATGTGAATAAAAAAATCTGCAATTCAGTCAAGCAATCATTCAATCAATCAAAAAATTGATGAATTCATTTTTGAAATCAAATATATTCCTGTCATTCTATTTATGGATAATAATTAAATTTAACAAGTTAATTCTAATATAGCTGCATAGGGATTATTCATTGAGATCAGGCAGTTAAGTCTGACTATATAGGTGTCAAAATCAATAATTATCCAATATATTTGTAAGTTTATCAGACAGGCAGACGATTTTGTTTGACCTTAAATTTGTTGGGTTCATACTTAATGCTATGCATTTCTCTTCAGTTTTTTTTTGTAAGTGCTTAATCTGTGTTTGCTTTGCTCTACCCAGGAGTATAAATGGGTATCTAGAAGTGAGGATGTTGTGGCGTGGAATGTACTGTTGTGTCTGTACAGTACATTGCGCTGCACTTTAGCATGAATAGGTATGCTCCCTAGAGAGTAGAGGAGATTACATGCTGTAATGATGTTATTTTATACACATAAGCATTTTTTACAAGGATTGTTGCGTGTGGAAGCATTTTTCTAGGGGTCCCAAGTTGGAAGAAAATACCTTCTGGGAAATCTGGTTGAATGCGCTTCCTTAACATATTTAATTTTTATTTTGCTGGCATGGTGACACCTATCGGCACTGTCTTCCATGAGACAATTGATAAATAAAGCAGTAAAAACATGCAAATATTAGAATTTGAGGGAGATAGGTTATTTTCCGTGACATTCTTGCTTGTTTGCAGGAGTGCAGGAGGCCGTCATGATTTCACAAGGGTCCCTTTTGATATCTCGTAATGTATACTCACCTTGGAGGGGGTCATTTTCATCATGATTATTACTACCAACTTCACTATATCACAGCCAAAACCAAAATTCTTGCACAAATTAAATATACCTTCCAAAATATTTGCAAAATGTATTTTACATTTATTTACTTTTGTATAAATAATAAGATGTGCTTTAATTTCACCAGATATTGATGAATGTAGAGAAATACCAGGATTGTGCCACTACCAATGTCAGAACAATCGAGGATCATACGTGTGTGTTTGCCCCGCCGGAATGAGATTGGCCGCCGATGGCAAGATGTGCAGCGGTAAGTAGCAAATCCAAATGTATAATTTTTTTAAATTTTTCATTTTATTTTTTATTTTGTCATTATTCCAAATTTGGAATTAGAAATTTGGCTGGGTTCCTGGGGACCCGTTGCAGCCATAATACATCCTCAGGTACCAAGTCCCCTGTCTCGCATAACTGTCATGCTAGTATTATTCGAGGAGCTGAGCGATCGACTCCAATTAAAATCCGACGTTTTCCGGATTTCAACCGTAGTCTTTACAAGAAGTAGGAACATTATCTCTCAGCCAAAGTGCTCAGTTTTATGGTTTATTTCTTTATTGATTTTCATAACTCGATTTTACAATATAATAATAATAATAATAATAATAATGATAATTTATATAGCGCATATTGAGCAGTGCCTCTATGCGCTTTACATAAAAATATAAAAACGAAAAAACATTTTGACTTTACAATTTAATATAATAAGGTGTGGTGGCAAAATAGCGGTAGGTCTCAAGGGTCAAACATCCACCTCTGCACAATCCCTGTCTCCTACCGAAATGGCTCGAACAAAGGAGCAAGTTTTACTATTGGAACTGTAATATATTTGTGCTCTTGGCCTGCCTAGGTTATCAACATTTGTGCCAAATTAATATGATGTTTCAAATTCTGTTTATTTATATTTTTCAATGTTAACATACCTTTTTTTTTGTTGTTGTGAAGGTTGTGCATTTTGACACTTAGAGATACTCATTAACAGGATGTTTTTAATTTTCCAGTTATTCTGGCTGTTTTGCCTCCTAAAAGTTAAAAAAGTGCCTTGAAACAGTTAAGATTTTTAGGGACATGACTGACCTTAAATTAAACAGTAAAAGCACACTACTTACTTTTTATGCTTAGAATTATGAAAGTGTTTTTGAAGTGTATTGTAAAGTTGAACTATAACTAGGTTATTAGGGCAAATTAAAGTAAATGTTTGACTGGAAAGAAACTTCTCAATAAATTGAACATCATGTCAATAATATTGTACTACATATTCAATATTTTCAAAATTAATTAAAGTTTCAAAATTTACTTCTAATCCTTTAGGATGATTTAAACTTAGCATTTGCTATATAAATTGAATTACAGTTAATTATTATCAAAATAAATTGAATAATTTATTTAAGCAACTAATAATTTATTTATATGCTGTGTCTACTACAACAACTTTAAATTGTCGCATACTGGATTTTGTGTTTTAAGTTTAATATAATATTTAATAACTATAGATTGATGGCCCTTTAAAGATTAAGACATAAATAAATATATTTCACTATATTTAGTCTCTACATGCCTTCATGTAATAGATATGGAGAATTCAAATTATTATTAGTTTTAAAGTTGTCAATTGTAACATAGACCACAGATATATTATAGTATAATACCTCCATGCATAGACTAGTACTAGTACTGCTCTGCAGCATACAGAGTTCATCATAATTTACTGCAACTTTTTCTTCTCATTTCTTCAATCAATTTCCTTGCATTTCTGTCACCTTTATTATTAATTTACGTTGTTTTCTTCATCAGTAGTTGGCGAGACATAGTGGAAATTGACCATTCCCAAAACATACTTTAGAGAATTAACCAAATGATTCGGTTTCCAGTTGAAATGAGCATTATCCCCAGCTACTCACTAAAATTAATTAATATTCCTGCATACTTAAAAGAATTAGGCTATGAACTAGGTCATTTGCAGTATAAGACATATCTTGGTTAATTATGTATTTTCAGTTCAAATGTAAATGTTTTACATCTGTTCATTAGTAATTTGACATTTATTACTTGTTTATTTATTTAATTGTTTATTTGGTTATGTATTTATCTATATTTAGTTATTTATTTAATTGTTTATTTAGTTATGTATTTAGCTGTATTTAGTTATTTATTTAGTTGTTTATCTAGTTATTTAACTACCTAATGATTTTTTATTTGTTTATGTTGCCATTACAGGCGAACTGAAATTCATATAAATAAATAATTACTTAATGATAAATTCAGTTTATATCTATATCGCCATTGAAATAAGTTTTTTGAAATAAGGATTAAAGTAGATGCCAACATTTGTTCACTAGCTTATTTCTATATATTCAGATATTGACGAATGCGAAGGGCTTCATGAGTGCGAGGGCGATTGTCAAAACACAATTGGAAGCTACCAGTGCACGTGTGAAGGCGGCTTTGTCACCGGAAGTAGAACACGATGCCAACGTAAGTTCCAGCTGTCTTTCTACACAGAAAGGGAAATATATGTTGTTCTGTCGTTACATTTCCAAATGACAAGTTGAATGTTTTTGAAACTTTGTCAGCCTATGTTTAAATTGGAGAATTTACAGTACAGTATATGTTCTTTTATTCAAGAGTTGAACACAATGTCAGCGTAATCCCAGCTGCCTCTTTAAAAGGAAATGTTTATACGTGTTGTTATGTAGTTGTAGTTTCGAATAACTATTTGAATGTTTCTGAAAGTTTGTCAGTTGAAATGTACATAATTGAGAAATATGTTATTTCTTCGTGAAGCAGATTACTTTACGATCCCTGTAGATTTTAAGTTCTAGTGCCTAAGATTCATTTCAATAAATGTTTTGATTGTTGCTGTGCTGTGGGTGTAAATATATTGTCACTCAATTACAAAAGCTATATACTTTGGACATAGGCCAGATTTACCTGTACTCTCTCCTCTAAAGTCGAGCATTAAGTTTTCTTTTCTTAGAGTGTACACTTAGGTTGAATTTGTTTAATCTTTAATTGCATGGAATTTAACATAAATGTATAGCATATTTAAATGTCCCTATAGTAATTATTATAACAACTTACTAATACTTTATGATTGTATAAATACTTTCAGGTGATTTCTGTTTGTGCAAACAGATGAATGAATTTAAAAGTAAATTGCACTAAATTAATTTGTTCCTCAATTATAAGAAGCACAAATCAAATAAAAAAGCCCTTCACAAAACTATTAAAGTGGCATTGTTATTTAACGTTTTGCATTATTCAAGATAATTATCTTCCAATTACCAATGTAAAAACATACAATCATTAGAAAGCAATTAATGAAAACACTAAATACAAACATTACTACGGTTACTCAAATAATGTTTCTAGTCTATGCTGATGCATTTTCATCTCTCTCCTCAGTCTAGTGTAAATTCTACTCCAGGTCTTCCGAATCAAGAGATAGGCCTAGACCCACTATATTTTGTTGACTAATAAAATTTAACTTGTGACGTTAACAACAAATAATCTTCTTTACGGTATTTTATGAATTATAACAAGAGAGTTACGAATACCAACAATATTATTATATCGGGGAACCGAATCTCAAGTATTGTACTATTGGCGGAACCACGTGCATGCATTGTGGGTGACTTAGAACCGTCCATTTTCCAGCTGGGAACATTTTTTTAACACAGCATGTCTTTTAAATGAACTTTTCACCTGGTAAGCAATGGTTAAGCCTTACATATCTTGGATCCCTGCTGAATGTTGATATGAAAACAACGTACATTCAGTCAATGAAGGTTGTTTTTATCAAATGTAAATATGATTTAGCTTTAGTTTAATGTAACATTCGATATATTTGAAGAATATAAAGAATTTGCTAAAGGTAGACCAGGCCCAATTAGGGCCATCCAAGCTGTCACAGTAAAAGTGGCCGTCCTAAATAATTGTTGGCCATCCAAAAGACGGCCGGACGGCCTATAAGCATGTGCTCTTATCACATAATGATGCAGACATCAGTCCCTATAAACAAAATTTTAATTTTTCTTCTTTTAGGAACTAAGCATTGTACGCCCGATACATGTGATCATCATTGCGTGGACACGGCCAATGGCTTCAATTGCTTGTGCCGATCAGGTTACCAGCTTGATCCAGGTGGTAGAAACTGCCGAGGTACAGTCTGATATATGTTTATTTACATAATATATTTGATTCTTAGAATATATTTGCATATTTATAATATGATGCATGCTAAAAGCTAATATAAGTATTTACGAACTAAAGTTATACTTGCATGTGGATGTCATTTTGTGTATTTCAAATGAAACAGAATTGATGTCATTTATAAATTATATTACAGATATCAATAATACTAAGTTGATAAATGTATTTTTTAAGAATAAATTTTCATATTTGAAGATATTGAATATTAAATAAAATGCAAAGTATTTATACTCTTGAGCAAGGCTTCTCTGCATTGCTTTTCTCCACCCAGGAATATAAATGGATACCTGGGTGGGGTTGCTTGCTACTGCACCCATGCAACACATAAGCATATGAACCCAATGACCAGGGGGGAAATAGCACCTTGTAACCTAAAGGAATATACGCTGTATATAAATACCAAATAACAGATAAAAAAAACAAAAAACAAATCTATTGACATTTTCATAGATATTGACGAGTGCCACGCTGTTACCAACGGAGGGTGTCAGCACGAGTGCCGTAACACCCTTGGCAGCTTCTATTGTACGTGCTTACCCAACTATCGGCTGTACTATGATCGACGACGTTGTATTCCATTGTCAAGTTGTAGGAATTGTAATCAACAACAGTGTTCAACAGGATTTAGCAAGGATGCTTCTGGTAGATGTGTTGGTGAGTACAAGCTATGCTATTACGTGCTGAAGTTAGTTCAATTTTATTTTTAGTTTTAAATTTTATTGTTTTATGATTTTACTGGAGAGTATTATTCTAATTATTATAATTGCGGTTATTGTTGATTTTCATAGTATAGAGCATAACATTTCTTTATTTAGATATGTGAAATGTGCTTCAAACCAGTGGCGTATATAGAAGTCTTGAAATGGGGATGCTGATGGGGGGGAATCTGTCATTATAGAGGAGTAAAATGTTGGGTAGACAGATCGATGGTTTAAGATGGTAAAAATACAAGCTTTAAGTTATATAAGTTGGGCACATGCTGTGGCGATGGCCTTCGGCCAACATGATTCCATACGGAACACAATACGACGAGGCTAGCGCCTGTCTCTTATACACATCTTTATGCCACAGCTTCCAACAAGAATTGAATCTGCAACCTGTCGTCACTATGCGTACTGCTGCTAGACAATGGAAGCCTGTATATCACAGGTTCAATCCATCCAGCGTTTCCCCTTATACAACTAATGTACGCCCTCACATTGGTTTTAGCCAAGAGAGAACTCTGGAAATTTTATTATATAAGTTTGTCATGGAGAATGTATGGGATTGGTTGGGAAAAAGGGATGGAGAGAACAAAGAAATAGACCAAACCAGATGAATTTTCAATATACTGACTGATCAGTGCATATGAACCACTTGAAAAAAGGTGACGATCTTGACGAGTATAGTCGTCCCTAGCGCCCTCAGCAACACCTATGGGACGAGTATACTCGTCGCTAGCAGCCAACATGTTAAATTAATAATTTAATATTTTAATTTTATTCTTTTTTTTAACACAGACAGAATGTAAAACCAAAATCATACTTAAAAAATTAAGGGAATGTAAGGAAAAAAACCCATCTATAAATGGATATGATATGACAGACATTTTCATGCTATAACTTCCTACCAAAAAAAAATATTTTGTTTTATAAAGATAGATGACTAGATATCATCTTCATAACTTCTCTCCAGAGTCCTCAATTCAAGGTCCAAACCACAGGTTTATATATATATCTCAATGTGTTAATTTCATCTGTAGGAATATATAGCCTTTGATTGGCTACAATGTAAAGCATGTGTTAAATCTGCATCATTTGAATCCCTGTAGCCTTCCATAGACAGCATCATGCTTTGTTTTTCCCGACTTCTTTTGCATTCATCTGAGAGTTAATTTCTGTTTTCCCAGTCTGTTTTGATTTTTCAGGATTTACGTATACATTTTAAAATTTCTTTCATTTCTCTGGAGCCAGTTATCTTGAAGTTCACTGTGGATATTTTTTTTCATTTAAAAATCTATGCAAACAGTAATAATAATCAAAAATATCCATAAATATTGCCTTGCAGACATTTGCTGCTCACCTTTAATTGTTTACCTGATAAACAAATTGAAATTAAAAAGAAATGATTTCCAATTGGATTACTGGGTAGAAAGTTGTTCACGATTGATATGTCGCTTATAATAATACATATTCATTACTGAAAAATAATTTTAATTGGTGATAATGTGGATTAAACTGTCGCGTAAAAGTTTGAATGCTATAGAGATATTAATATTTATAGAAATGAAAGTCAACCTCGTGTTATAACAACATGTGTATTGTCCACAATATCAAATTTTCTTTTTACAAGAAACTGTCCTATATCCATATATATATTCATGATTTGCCTATATATTGTCATGATGTGATGTCATTACCATATTTAGGCATGATGTGCCTATATATGGTCATGATGTGATGTCATCATGACCATATTTAGGCATGTTTTTGTCAATAAAATTTGATAGTCTTCATTTGCCTTCAGATGGATCACATAGTTGCAAGTAAAATAAAAAAAAGTGCTTTGTTGTGTATTTCAGCTGGACCTGTCTGTCGCCAACCTTGTCTTAACGGTGGAACATGTATTTACCACAGCCAGTGTGCAGGAGGGCGCTATTGCATGCTCACGCAATGTGTCTGTCCGCGTGGTTTCAGGGGAAGACAATGTGAGAGAGGTTAGTACCTGAGGTTTTTGTTGCAGACATGGTTCTTTATCTTCAAATCTTTATTGTCTGCCACACACATTACAATTTAAAATTGTCAGACTTCCGATTCTTTAAATACATGTCTGCTTATAAAAGTGCGGACCTCGATGAAGTGCGGACCTTTAATGCGCCAGTCATGGCTGTTGCGGTGCATGAAATTTAATAAGCTATAAAGTATTCAGTGTCGGCGCCAGGAATTTGCTGACAGGGGTCCAACAAGTTTGACAGAAGAATCTGTCATTATAGAGGAGTAAAATGTCTGGTAGACAGATCGATGGTTTAAGATGGTAAAAATACAAGCTTTAAGTTAATTTAAGTTGGGCACATGCTGTGGCGATGGCCTTCGGCCAACATGATTCCATACAGAACACAATACGACGAGGCGAGCGCAGCAGATAATGTTTTATAACGATTTGCCCAGACTGCCACTGATAATTAGCAGACAAGCATCACATCATCAAGCACTCACTGCTTTAGTATACTGTAGAAACTGCAGTCACAGTAACCTTTTGGTTAGATGAGCCAATTAATATTTGAAGTCCTCAAGTGGCATACGACAACGTGGTCCACAGGGGCGGATCCAGTATTGGGAACGGAGGGCATGTGCCCCTCTCTTTTGCCACAAAATTTTAATGCAATTTAATGTTATGTGCTACTTACATATTCTGAAACCGTTTTGGCCTCTGTTTAAAAAATTCTAGATCCGCCCCTGGTCCATGCTACTCTGACAGGTTGAAATTTCCCTTTAAAAACATTTTAAAGTAACTAGACAAGAGTTGTGTGGGTATTGCATGAGATATAGCCAAATGTAAGTCTTTACAAGAGAAGACAAGACAAGCATTGTATAGGTTGCATAATTCATTATAGAATATATAACTTCAATAACTTTAACAACTTAAAAAGACAAGATGTGAGTTCGTTTGATATTACTTGTTATCACATGAGCAAGGTGTTTACAGGAAGGATTGCATTAGATTACATATCCTATGGGATTTGTGGTTACATCGTTCCTGTCCAAGACTTACAATTTTGGGAATGATCATGACTAATCCAATTAAAACTGTGCCCTGAATAGGAATTTGGTTTAAACCCTTCTCAGAAAATCCAGTACACGGATATTGGCAATGCGACTCTGACTACGGACATATTAAATGTAGTAAAAATAGAGTTTGCAAGGTGTGACCTTTCAAATGTAGACACAGGCTTAAATCACTAAACTATAAGAAATAATTTATTTTCATTTTTCTAATTTCATTTTTAAATGGAGGAAATTTTTTTTTAACCAAAGAAGCATGTATATTAAAGAAGCACACAGAATCAGATAGCTTTCAGTGACTGGTAGGCCTAAGCCTTAACTACAAGGACTCATGTAGCTCAGTCAATAATTCAATCAGCTAATCAATCAATCAATCTTTCAATAAACTTGATTCCATTCCATATTTTACAAAATCATATGGGATTTGCCATGCCAAAACCAACATCAGTGACGAAAACATGAAAATTGATTTTTTTAAAGTATTCATATTCTCCGCATTATAAGCTTCAAAATAATAGGTCATTTACTGGAATCGACTTGCCAAAGTTGCCAAAGTTTTGATTAAAATATTACAGCTTCTCTGTGCTAAAGTATACAAGACAGCCACATCCTTATGCTAATTACCCCGACTGCCGTGGATTTGAACACAATTCTATTTTAAAAAGTTCTGCCACGAAAGGGCCTATCTTGTGACAGTACTTTTTTTAAACATTCCATTGCGTTCATGTGTGTATGTTTGTCTTGTGTGTTGTAGACTGTTTTATGTGTACGGGGCCCTCTGGGAGAACAGTAATTTGTTACTGAAGAGGAAACCCAGTATGAAGAACATATAAATAATAAAAAAAAAGATACATACAAAATCAGGGCAGTCTATAGTCTTTTGTTTAACATTTAGCAACAGTCTGCTGGTATTGGGGGTAGCAAACCTCATGCTTAAGCAAACAGAAGCAGTATATCGTTAAATTCTATCTGCAGCTTTTTGCAGTTTTTTTTTTATGGATGTCACGTAGCGTTACATGTACTACAGAGAATGACAGGATTCCCTTGGCTGTGGCTATACATTACATTAATAGAAATACTGTTGGGTATTGTCATCCTAGTTAAATAGCACCATCTGCAACCTGATTATTAATCATATGATCGTCTGCTTCATCTTCTAAAAAAAGTAAACTAATTTGTCTACTACTGTCCTTGTCGGTTAAAATGCTAGTCATTTTTAACATTCTTTAAAAAAAATTGATATGAAAAAGGTTATGTAACTTTTCTTATTAGTTGCCAATTTTTTACTTCTCTTTATTTAATTTTATTTGCATGAGAAACACAGATATTCTCTATGAACAGATCCATTAAAAAAAATAAAACATATTTAGATTTAACATAAGTTTAAATGTCAAGATTCAATTTATGTTCTTATTTGATGATCCAAAATTTTAAAAATGATACTTGACTATAGCTTATTCAAATTTTTTCTGGTATTTAACAAGCACTCTCTCTCAAGGGGATTTATTGTAGTTGTTTTTACAGATTGGTCATGATATCAACTAGGTATAAGCCAAATAATATTTAATATATGTTGGATCCTCAACAAAGAACAATCTTAGATCTCACTCTATAGTATACTTAAGAGAATACTCAGATTTTTTTTTTTCGAATCACAATTTATATAGGGACTTTTTTATGACTATTTGAAGTGGGACATATTAATTGATATTCTTAAACAAATTTGTGTAGACAACAGAGATAGACGGATGATATGGAATTTGTATATCAATTAGACAGCAACAATATTAGCAAAAATGAGAAATCTGAACCTGCTGAAATTGGTAGAGGTCAGGGATGGATTTTTTTTGGGGTGGGGGATAGGGTGGCCCAGGTGGCCCCAGCCCATATCCCCATATCCCCCCCCCCACTATTTTGGAAAGTTAAAAAAGAGAGAAAAAGAAAATAGAAACAATTGATCGCTCCAAACGTCTCGGATGATATCTTTGGGCGTCTAGAAAACAAAATTTTCACGGAGGCATGCCCCTGGACCCCCTGGTGTAGCATTGTCTTGATCAGCCCCAATGTAGCAATCGAGCTATTATAGTAGAAATCACTGTTTGCTATACATTATTTCTAATTTAAGACTAAAATAACTGCATGTGTTGGAAATATTTAGCAAGTGTGCTATGCCTCGTGGGATGCTGGATCAGAGGGATTGTGGGTAGTGAATCACGATAGTTACAGACCATGTCTGATCAGGGATTGATATCTGTACTTGTCTGAGAGATTGCTTTTAACATGTCAAGTTGGCTAAGAAATGATAAGAAAAAAATTGTCTGTAATTATAGATATATTAAGTTATTATTAGCAATGTAATATCAACATTTAGAGATACTGTAGCAGACTAATGTATAAAAAATTCATCAGATATTGATACATTTAAAAAAACAGCCTTTTGTATAAGAACTTTATAGCTATACTTATGTAAAGTTGCTTGTAGTAAAGGTGTGACCTAGCCTTTACTTACATTAATTACTAAGGTCTCTCTACTCACTGACTAATCAACTTTTTACTTCCTAAAGTGTCCTATCGTGTAGGTGCTACCAATGTGCTACCAATCGGTGCAAACGTTTAGCCCACAGCAGGGTAACCACCTGTTCTTCTCGAAGGATATCCTGGGTTCTTTCAAAGTTCACATGATTTAGCTTATGTGCATTGGGCCTATGGTTTGTATTCTGTATCTCAGAAAACGTGGTTCTACCATCCAAACCATGATCAATATAGGTTTTGCACTAGCGCAGATGTAATGCTCAAGAATCCGGCCGTAACCACTTATCCACTTGGCTTGCTTAAGAATATAATCAGAATATTGATAAGCTCCTGTTACCAAAAAATGTGTATTACATTATATTTATTTTGTAGGTTTATAGGCACATGTAAATTAGCATTTGATACAGTATTTATATATTAATTGAACATAACCATTTAATCCATTTCATTTTAGGGTCAAGTCAGTGTAACCCTCCATGTTCCAATGGTGGTAACTGCGTCAATGGTTTGTGTCGGTGTCCCGATGGTCTCTCTGGCAACATTTGTTCCCTAGATGTTGATGAGTGTTCACGTAACCCCACTTACTGCCAGCATCAGTGTACCAACACATTTGGCAGCTTCCATTGCCAGTGTCGACAAGGCTTTACATTGAACTCAGATGGAAGAACTTGCCAGGGTAGGACATTTATATATTTACATACATATATCAATCAATTAAATATTTAGGCCATTAGGCCATTATCTTACTCATGGCCTATTAAAAATATTACTGAATAAATCAACTGTGTCATTATTCCTACACACCCCTCAAATAGTAGAATTATCCATCCCAAAATGATTCATCTTAATCTCCACGTTGTCATCCTCATTCTCTTTTCACTGTGATTGTGATAAGATCTAGTAGAAACCCTGTCATAGAGTGAATATTAATTAATTAGGCCATAATATTTGGTATTGGCAACAAAAACTTAAGAGCATTCATGAAGATGTTAGTAACTGAGAACTTCATAATAATTTGTTTTCAAAAATAGACTGTTAACTAATCATAATTATCCAGACAGTGATTTCATAATTATTCAGACAATGATTTATTTTGTTATTAGTAATTAGTAATATGAACTTTAAAAATGTTTTCTTTTTTATAATAATTTAGAGATTGGTTGTTTCCCGCCTTGTATGAATGGAGGAACCTGTGTAAATGGAAATTGTGACTGTACGTTTGAATGGACTGGACCAACCTGCCAACAAGGTATGATTAAAAGCATTTATTTTCTCATTTGTTTATAATTACCTGAATGCCAAGATTTCCTTTTTCAAACTTACCATGAAAATAATGGAATAGTTTGACCAATTTTATTTACAGAATTAATGAATTCATATTTTTAAATATTTACAATGTTAGTGACCATGACATTCCACATCTATTTTAAAAATTATTATGAAAAAGATAATGGAAAAATATTTTTTCGTGTAACAGATAAATGGAAATATCTCGCTGAGCTCTTTCTTATATATTTGCCTTTTAGATGTAAATGAGTGTCTCCTTGAAAATGGTGGTTGTCAGTTTGAATGTCGGAATCGTCCCGGAGGTTTTGCTTGTCTCTGTCCATCTGGTTCATCTCTCAATGAAGATAAAAAAACGTGTTCTAGTAAGTGTGTACCTTAGATAATCTACAATGTTGTATCTTACATTGTTCCCATCCAGTGTTGAACAACATACCAACAGAGGAGTGTGAAGGAAGTCATATTCTATGAAATATAATGGGTGGCTTCTACAGAGTATTTCTGCTGTAGTGTATGGTAAATGATACTGTAAGATGTTGAAATTCCAGTAAATTTAACAATGTAAGAAATGGCAAGTCAAGTGGACGAAAGCTAGTGCTAATAAATGATATATTTTAATGATTTGTCATTTCTAATTATTGTTCCATAGCAGACTAACTTGGTACACCTTTTATTCATCAGTAAATTTAAATCTTTTGAAAATTTGAACATAGGAACACTTTCAGGATGGTTTATAATTGCTAAAAAAAAAAATGGCTTCAAATATTGAGGTTTTCAAGAGAATCTGTATTTGTGGCCAGATTATGATTTGTTGTGAACAATGTGAGTGCGACAAACTAAAAATCTAGGCCAGCTCAAGCCTTATGAAGATTACATGATTCGGGAGCTTAAAATGCACATTAGAATGAGTATAATGACAATATTTTTGAGCAATCATACTGCCTTTGTTTTTCAGTTATTTTTGCACATTATCATTGGTGCATTTGTAAACAACTATTAACATTTTATCTTCTATATTTTTACACTGATCACACTGTGTGATATATCAACTAAACATCACATGAGCACAACTAGTTCAAGATCGCCGACTGTGTCTAATACGTATATACTTAGGGGTTTATGAAATTGCTCACGTACAAAAAGAGTGAAGTCACTGCTTATGTAATTATAAGGAATTAAGCATTTGCTTATGTATTTGATAAGGTAAACCATTGTTTATAATGTATATTGATGGACACACATTAGTGGCAAAATACCATCATGATTTGTGATCAACTTGATATTGGCAAGGATGCCTGTTGAATCAACATGACTAGACTAACTTACAAAAAGCAGCTGGTGTTGAAAAATTAATTTGACACGTAATGTCATCTTGTGGGCTTTTCCCCACTAATGCTTTTGCCACTGAAAAGTTCCCTGTCTCCTGTTTCGAATCTCATGACATTTGCTCAGATATGAATCACGTTATGATGGTTTTTTTTTTTTTCCTATTTTTCAGGGCCATGTCATCCAGCCTGTAGGAATGGCGGTTATTGCTCTGGGGGCGCTTGCACTTGTCCAGAAGGATTAACAGGAAGTTTCTGTCAGTTTGGTAAGATCATGCAATGTATTTCAACAAATCAGTGAACAAGTGCTTAACTATTTCAATTCAGATTCTCTGTTCGCATTGTATGTTTTGGTTCAGGAAAACAAAAATCATAAATTAAAATTTGAATTTGTTCACCTACACTAATTGTGCTGTTGAGTTTGCACATGATTTATTATATGTAAACTAATTGTCATCATTAGTATATTTGACCAGCAAAGCCAAATTTAGCATATCTTGACAAAGTGCATTCTTGATAGTTTTGGCGGCAATCGGGGAGGGGGGGGTGGGTGGAAGGGTGCTGGGGTGCTGTTTAGAAATAGAGTGCCTTGTTGGTAAAGATGGATGGATGGATGGATTTAGTTGGTATGAACAACAAGGGTAACCCACTGAAGTCTTATAAAGACTTATTTCCAGTTGGTACCCCTGGTGGTGATTGGGCATTACAGCGAGAGACAATCCCCAACTTTTTTTTTTGTACTGCATTCTTTAACATGCATATCGGACCATTTTGCTCACCAACAGAATAAACGTCTCATCCAAAAGACGTGATCTTTAAAGAACTCATGGCATCTTTCGGAAGAGTAGGGGGTTACCCTGATGCTATGGTTCATTTCAACATCAATGATGTGAACATGTAGCTAATATAAGCACCTCTCTTACAGCCTCTACTTCTACCTCTTTACTCAACATACTTCTTAAGTCAGGATATTTTGCAATGAGTCTGTAAATTATGGGAATTGGGAATTGAACCAATCTCCATGTTCCCTGCACCTCCTTTGTTAATTAATGTTATTCCAAATCACCCATAATATAATTGGAGCACTAGTTTCCAGTATTCTGAGTGATTAATTCTATTTGAAGGGCTTATTACTCTTGTTTTTTTCTTTCTTCCTTATCTGTCCTTTCCTGTTTCTTTTATGTCTTGCTTGGTTCTGGCACTATGAGCACACCTTGCAGATTATACTAGAGCCTTATAAATGCCCACTATTTTTATTACCCAACCCCAGTCTAGTCTGCTTTATCAATTTACAATTATATTACGATGACAATAAAAGATATACAATATCATTTGTTCTTGCAGATACCAATGAGTGTGTCTCGGGTACTTCAAGTCCATGTTCTCATCAGTGTGTGAATACCTTCGGTAGCTTCAGGTGTACCTGCCCTCAAGGAGAAACGCTAGCAGAAGATCAAGTCACTTGTTTCTGTATGTAGCAGTAATTCATTCATCCAAATTTTACTATAAGCTTTGATCTTCAGTTCTAGTGATGAAAAACTTTTATTAATATACATGTGATTGATGTGATGTGAGTCTACTTTGTGAATACTTACCTGGATAAACCAACTACTTTGCCATTGTTCCTGAAATGGAACACCCCTTAAAAAAAATAGAAGAGTCCGACCCAAGGTACCATGTAAGAACTGTCTCCCTAACAAACGTCCTAATTTCCTATTCGACATGAATTTAGTTGTTTTTCAGTTCTTAAGCTCAGTCCAGACTATTAAATTTTATTTGACAAAAAAAAAAAACTGTTGTATTCCCATATATAGTCATGATATGCCTATATATGGTCATGATGTGATGTCATTATGACCATATTTATTCACATCAAATAAAATTTGATAGTCTGGACTAGGCTTTAATCCCGTCGCCCACTGCCAGCAGTAGGCTGATTATGTGCACCAAATTTATCCACAAACTTGTGCAAGTACTTGCCTGGCTTGGTGGTGGCTGATTTGCAGTGGGAGTGTGAATAAATAGCAGTACAGTTTAAACAGATGAAATACATATTATACATAATATAACTAAGTTGTATTTTTTCTTCATTGTAGCCCTGTGTAACCCAGCCTGTAAGAACGGTGCACCGTGTGACCAAGGGCAGTGTGTGTGTCCTGCTGGTCTTACTGGTAGTGACTGCAGCCTAGGTAGGTGCTCTATGGCTAGTAAGGCACACCTTCAATTCGAGACCAATTTAGCGATCTGAAAATGTGGGTGGGACACAGGATTTGGTCTCCAATGTTTAATGGTTTTTGCAGACAGAACGGCGTGATTTGTCTTTGCTAGCACCCATGCGTAGTCTGGCTATATGTGGGCTAACAACATCACTGCTGATTTGTTTATATCATAATACATTTATGATTTTTGTTTTTTCCTAGATGTCAATGAGTGTCCAGGTAACTGTGCTTTCTATTGCAACAACACTTTTGGTAGCTACACATGTAGTTGCCCTTCTGGCTTCCTATTGGCTGGTGACGGTGTCAACTGTGTTGGTGAGTAACAAACAACCAGTGTACAACATATTGTATTTGTTTGAATTTATTTTTTTCTTGAATAGATGCTCCCTAAGTGAAAAATTTAATTAAACCAACATCATTCTCAACCCATTCTATTATTATTCCAGTAGAATACATTTTTTCCAACCTGGTTGGTTAAGGGGTGTATATTTGAATATACACATATCCATTTTACACCAAACAAAAACAAAATGCCTTCCTCGAATAAATGGCTCCATTGAATATACTCCCCTCAAAACTCTCCTCATCAATAAATTCCCAGGGCGTTTATTCAAATAGATACGGTAATATATACTCCATGAAAATGATTTTTCTTATTTTCCGTCTTAAGATTTTTGTCTTAACAATATTAATTACTCAATTGTAGAAAGTATGACCATTGTTCTCAATAATTACATTTTTTTGTCCTTTTGCAGATGAGAATGAGTGTCTGACAACGGGTCAGCGGTGTGAGTATGATTGCTTGAATACGGATGGAGGATTCTTTTGCATTTGCCAAGATGGATACCAAATAGGAGCTGATGGATTCAGCTGCAAAGGTAACCCCATACTCCATGTTTATTTTATTCTAGATTGAATCATGTTGTTAAAATTTTACGACAAAACATTAACAAATATTATGTTAATTATACCAATCCATCTAATATTACACTTTGCTAATGCAATCATTTTCTTTCTACTTTTCTAATCCAGCTGTGGCCTGTGATCCACCATGTCAGAACGGTGCCCTTTGTATTGATACAACATGTCAGTGTCCACAAGGCTTCGAAGGACCATCCTGTGAATTTGGTAATATCAATTAATTTTATTTAAAAATTATCCTTTAATGCTTATTGCATATAAATATTCCTGTTATTTTCGAATATGTCTAATATTTATAATATGGTTATAAATAATATTTTACTTGTTTGTTTTTTTCAGAGCGCCTGTGTAACTCTGAGTGTATGAATGGTGGGCGATGTGTCAAAGGTCTTTGCGAGTGCCTCGCAGGGTACATCGGCACATTCTGTGAAGTCCGAAGTAAGTCCGCATGAAGTATCTTACAGAGCAGTCATCAATCCAACAATCAATCATTCAATCAATCAATCAATCAGTGAGTCAGTCAGTCAGGAAATACAGCAATCAGCACCGGCTGATCAATCAAAATTCTTGCATCGAATAGACTCATACAAGACCTTAATTATTATTATCAAAAAATTATCCTTTAATGCTTATTGCGAGGCGAGTCGAGTGGCCGAGCGGTAAGACAGGGGCGCCGCTAGCTGCAGCCTTAACATCGGCGCTGGTTCCAGCCGCTCCTCGCCCATGGTTCGGTTGGTAGAACCAAGTCTTCTCGGAAAGAACTTAAAATGGAGGTCCGGTGTATACAACTGGCTTGTGTGCACTTTGACGAACCCATTGCATCTTTTGGAAGAGTAGGGGGTTATGCTGATGTTACGATTCATTTCAGCCCCCTGTCGTTGTGGAATGATGTGAACATGTATCTACCAAGAAGCGCCACTTTACGGCTGCTAGGTATTCCCAGACCATGCCCATACGCAATTCAGCACAATGACGCTGCAAGTTATGGGTTATTCTCCTACCTTTACCTTTCTTCAATGAATTCCCACTACTCCCTGTTCTGCGTTGTGGCCTTTGTCACATATCTTAGTTTTTTCAAGCTCTTTCCTTTGATTGTGTATAAGTCTGCACCTCCTTCACCTAACATTTAAGTTTAAGGTTAGAACAAGCATTATTGTCATTGGTGTATATATTTTGTTTTCTGCTTTCTAGCTTGTGAACCTGGATGTCAAAATGGTGGATTCTGTATTAATGGTGTTTGTCAGTGTATCTACGGTTTCCAAGGCAACACATGTGAAGAAGTCAGTAAGTAGATGGTATTTTTCTAGGAGGCTGTAGCTATGAATTTTTCCTTCCACATAAGCCAATGTTAATTCAAGCATATAAGTAAAAATTTTTATGTAAAGCCACAAATGTTTCATTAGAAATTACATCAATTTTACTTTACATTTACAAGTAACCAATCAGATACGAGTTATCGTTATAATTTAACTTATCTTAATTTACATATTAAAGTAAGTGACCATTCGGAAAGTACAAATATATATGATTCATTCAAATAAGTGTTAATTCACATTTGTGATGATTAAATGTAGTGAAATCAGAGATTACTCGATAGAGATTTAGTTCGTCTATTATTAGTATCCTGTCTCTGACTGTTTCTCGTATACATCCTCAACGAGTCTTGTCAGATGCAATCATAACATCATTATTCTATAATAATTTAGCACTGTTTCTATTATTTATGAACTTGTTTAATTATCTGATTACAATGCTACATCTATGATGTACTCTACTATAATTTTTATGCGACTTTCTACTTTCCAATTAAGGGCGTATATTATTTGATTGATGTTGTCTGACTTGATTTTAACTGCGATATATTGTAAAATCAATGATATATTGTGTATTTGCTTAAAGTGGCTGTAAATGAATAACTACAGTAGATATAATAATTGTTCTCTAAAATTTTGTTTACTTATATGAAGTTTGTAGTCCCAAATGTCAAAATGGTGCGCTATGTACCAATGGCATGTGCATATGTCCAGAAGGCTACGGTGGTCTAGCCTGTGAAAGAAAGGGTAGGTTATCAAAATATGCATGGTGCAAGATACGGTGCTATGCATGGGGAAAGATATGGTACTATGCTTAATAAATGCATTGCATGGGGAGTTGGGTTCGTGTATTTTGCGCTCATACACTGGAACCACCTGTGCTGAATCTGTCTCTTATACACATCTAGATGTGTATAAGAGACAGGTCGGATACATCTAGCCTTTGAAAATTACATCAATTTTACTTTACATTTAGAAGTAACCAATCAGATACGAGTTATCGTTATGATTTGACTTATCTTAATTTACATATTAAAGTAAGTGACCATTCGGAAAGTACAAATATATATGATTCATTCAAATAAGTGTTAATTCACATTTGTGATGATTAAATGTAGTGAAATCGGAGATTACTCAATAAAGATTTAGTTCGTCTATTATTAGTATCCTGTCTCTGACTGTTTCTCGTATACATCCTCAACGAGTCTTGTCGAATGCAATCATAACATCCTTATTCTATAATAATTTAGCACTGTTTCTATTATTTATGAACTTGTTTAATTATCTGATTACAATGCTACATCTATGATGTACTCTACTATAATTTTTATGCGACTTTCTACTTTCCAATTAAGGGCGTATATTATTTGATTGATGTTGTCTGACTTGATTTTAACTGCGATATATTGTAAAATCAATGATATATTGTGTATTTGCTTAAAGTGGCTGTAAATGAATAACTACAGTAGATATAATAATTGTTCTCTAAAATTTTGTTTACTTATATGAAGTTTGTAGTCCCAAATGTCAAAATGGTGCGCTATGTACCAATGGCATGTGCATATGTCCAGAAGGCTACGGTGGTCTAGCCTGTGAAAGAAAGGGTAGGTTATCAAAATATGCATGGTGCAAGATACGGTGCTATGCATGGGGAAAGATATGGTACTATGCTTAATAAATGCATTGCATGGGGAGTTGGGTTCGTGTATTTTGCGCTCATGTGTTATGTAAGTTAACATGTTTCTATAGAGTACGTCTGTTAATTGATAAGAAGAAAGTTCAGTGTCACTGAATGCAAAGCTTTATGTAGGAACATGACAATTCGGAGTTGGTCTTCTAAGCTCTGAAGGTAGCTAATGGGAAGCCTGGAAAGTAATGTTATCATAATTGAAGTCATGTAGGGCCTATACACAGATTATCTGTATGATGATCACTCTTCTTATTGTTTTTGGTGGAGTGCCATAGAATTTTATTCAAACTACTCAAGTAAGACATTGCATCTGCTATTCAGAACTAACATTAGGTACGTTGAACAGCTAAATCTTGATTGAAATATTATTTGTAGTTATGTGAATATATCTCAACAGTTTTAAAACCATTTAAAAACAATTTTCAATAAAAACATAATTTACATCAGTCTATTACTTAATATAGAAGTGCATGATGAGGCTTATTTAATAATTTAGATAAAATTAAAGGAAGATTCAAATTGTAAACTTAAGAATGAAGTAGAATAAAAAAAAAAAACAACATATACAGTAATTAGTTATAGAATAATAATGTAAGATGTACCATAACCATGGTTGAAATATTGTTTTTAAACTCTTGCAAGCTTTATAGGTAGTATATATTTAGAATAGTGTGTAAGAAAAAAAATCGAAAGGAAATTGACTATAAAAACTCACCGTACTTGCTGAGGATAGTTGGTACAATCTTGCTTTTTTTCTGTCATAACCACAAGCTGATAATGAGTAAAAACCTGACATGAGTGGGATGAGGATAAGAGGTGCAGTACATTTTGATTGCGCATGTATTGTCTTCTAGTTTGTATGCCTGCATGTGAAAATAACTCAACATGCGAGAATGGTACTTGCATATGTCTGCCTGAGTTTGAAGGTCCAACTTGTGGAGACAAAGGTGAGATAACGTGCATAAACCTTTCCCACCCCCTTATTTATGAGAAGCTTAAATAATAGCATATGATGAACAGTTACTAATGTGTTAGGTTTAATTGATTGCATGAATTATGGAACTCATATCTTGGGAAAAATCCTAATATTTACAGTCTGTATATGTTTCAATATACTAATACTGTGTTTAAGATTCTTTACATAAAGTTATTACATTCAAATTTAAGTAAACATTTAACATTATTTTATTATACTAAAAAAATGTAACAATGTTTTGTAGTGTGTGTGGAACAGTGTCAGAATGGAGGCTTCTGTAGATTTGGAGAGTGTCGTTGCTTGCCTGGATTTACTGGGAAATACTGTGAACAACAAGGTAATTGTTTTATGGTAGTGAAAATGGCAGGGGATTTGTAGTGTGCAAATTAAAAATGTGCATTGACCAGCAGTGGTTTTGATTGGCTGGAAATTAAAAGTATTTCCTAAAATGAACTGGAGGAATTAAAATTCAATTCAAAAAAAAAATAAAAAATCTTTATGCGCTTTCTTTCTAACAGGAGAAAAACTTTTACAATTCAATGAATTAAATAATGAAAGTTTTGAATTGAATTTAGACTGCTAAGCCAAGAAGCACTTTCAATTTTAATATATGAGGGATGATCTTATGTCACACCTGTTTACACCAACATTGAATATTAGCATAGGAAATTTGAATATTGCATAAACACTACCCTCGCCAACATTTTATGCTGGTTGTAAGCTCTATGTTGCAACATAGCGAAACCAAATTATTTACATCTAGTAACATTGACATCATTATCATTGACTAAAAGTAGTACCATCAGAATCATCAGCACAAAGTTGCAGGATTATCATCATATCCATTATTGCCACAACCACCACTTGGTAATACAATTATGGAACTCATATCTTGGGAAAAATCCTAATATTTACAGTCTGTATATGTTTCAATATACTAATACTGTGTTTAAGATTCTTTACATAAAGTTATTACATTCAAATTTAAGTAAACATTTAACATTATTTTATTATACTAAAAAAATGTAACAATGTTTTGTAGTGTGTGTGGAACAGTGTCAGAATGGAGGCTTCTGTAGATTTGGAGAGTGTCGTTGCTTGCCTGGATTTACTGGGAAATACTGTGAACAACAAGGTAATTGTTTTATGGTAGTGAAAATGGCAGGGGATTTGTAGTGTGCAAATTAAAAATGTGCATTGGCAGTGGTTTTGATTGGCTGGAAATTAAAAGTATTTCCTAAAATGAACTGGAGGAATTAAAATTCAATTCAAAAAAAAAATAAAAAATCTTTATGCGCTTTCTTTCTAACAGGAGAAAAACTTTTACAATTCAATGAATTAAATAATGAAAGTTTTGAATTGAATTTAGACTGCTAAGCCAAGAAGCACTTTCAATTTTAATATATGAGGGATGATCTTATGTCACACCTGTTTACACCAACATTGAATATTAGCATAGGAAATTTGAATATTGCATAAACACTACCCTCACCAACATATTTTATGCTGGTTGTAAGCTCTATGTTGCAACATAGCGAAACCAAATTATTTACGTCTAGTAACATTGACATCATTATCATTGACTAAAAGTAGTACCATCAGAATCATCAGCACAAAGTTGCATGATTATCATATTTGCCACTATATCCATTATTGCCACAACCACCACTTGGTAATACAATAAGACTATAAGATTTATTTTTTCGCATGAGTACATATTATGTTTTTTTTTTAATCCATAGGATGTCAACCCCAGTGCATGAATGGAGGAACATGTGTGAATGGCCGCTGTCTTTGTACTGCATCATTCACTGGAACCACCTGTGCTGAATATGGTAAATTAACATATACGTTGTTGTTGGTGTTGAATGCTGTTACTGAACTGCATTCTTCATCAAAGCCATGTGAAGTATGAGATCAGTGTGAATGGATGTTATCTGTGTGATGTATCTTCTACTAGGACCACCTATAGTAGTGAATATGGAAATAAACATACAGGTGTAATGTCATGTTGGTGGTTTGTTACTGTGTGAATATCATCATTTATTTTTTATATATTTTTTTTTTCCTTTAATGCAACAGTAGGTGACACATGAAGGTAATCATTAAAATGTATTGTTTTCTCTCATTTGAACAGTTGATGTATCACCAATTAATACATCTAAAAAAATTGATTTAATGTAAAGTAATTTCATTATTAAATCTAAGTGTTCGGTATTATTTAGTTCCTCTGAACATCATATTTTACAATTTTAGCTTAAAAAGTGGTGTGGCGGTGGTTTTATATTGTTTTTATTAATATAATTATGATTTTTTTTTAATAGTACTAGTAATTTCTTTCAGCTTGTTTTTATTTGCCTCCCATTTCAATAAAATAGTCACCATTTAAAAAAATAACAAGCAGTTAATTCAATTAGTAAATAATTCAGTCATTAGCGGAATTCATTTATAAGAATCATTTAACTTATTAGGATGTTAGGCTCTTTACATTTTATCACATACCATTGATACATGCTTAAATCAATGCTCATGCTTAAATAAGTTTTCCGATGATGTTCTTAAAAAATCTTTCTATGTTTATTTTTTTTGTTGAATTTATCAACTATTATTTATTTTATACTAATTTTTTCTACAACTCTCATGGTTTTATTTTTAATTATTGTAATTCATTGCAATTATTTATTTATTTTTTTTTTGAATTTATCAACTATTATTTATTTTATACTCATTTTTTCTACAACTCTCATGGTTTTATTTTTAATTATTGTAATTATTGATTTCATTTAAGTACTTTCTTCATTTTTATCTATTCTGTTATTTAATTCTGTCGTTCATTCAATTTATATTTAATTAATTTAATCCTACATTATATAATAGTAACATAATAATTCAATATAAATTTTTATTTTAAATGCTTCTAATGTAGTTTAATCATGTCATTTAAAAACAATTTAATTAATTTTTAGATGTTTATTTTTATTGCAGCATTTAATTATTCTTGATTTAATGTCCTTTAATTTCATTTTCTGTTGTACATATAATCCATTACTGTATAAGTTGTGGTAGTACCCATTCTCTAATTTAAATATGTCGGTTGCCAAGTGAAATTGTGTGATTTTGTTCTCAGTTCCAGCTAGCTGCAAATTTGGCAAAATTATATGTGATGCTTAAAACAGGCATTTTCTACATACTTTCTGGCCCATAGAAAAACATATTGACCGACCCTGATTGTTAAATATCTATGGGCTTTTAGAAAATCAACAGTCTTTTTTGGCCTGATAAATGTCCACCCCAGAAGTCCACGATTTTAAATTAGTGTACAAGTTTATTATAGCTTATACAATAATATTTTTAATCCATTCATTGATCATGAATATCATGTAAATTTTCATGCTTTTTACTAAACGCTGCCACCTACTTTGTCTTTAGTTCCACCTTGTATACCATCTTGCCAAAATGGTGGTACATGCAGAAATCGCCAATGCATATGTGAGGAAGGTTTCACAGGAATAGATTGCAGTTTAGTTGTCCGTAAGTTTTAACAATAAAATAAAAAAATGGTTGAAAAATTTAGATATTTGTTGAAATGGTATTTGCATTTGTAAAAGCTGTTCTCTTTGCAGGTTTTTCAAAATCATGTTTAATTTAGTTCTTATAACCTTATTGTATAACATAAATATTCACTTTCATTTTAAATGTGATGTGATGTTCTTTTTTATGTAATTTGTTAGCTGGACCATGCATACCTCCCTGTCAGAACAATGGAGTGTGCCAGAATGGCCAATGTGTTTGCCAAGATGGGTATGAGGGGCCATACTGCGAGTTGGAAGTTGGTAAGTTACCGTAAGAGGATGGCTTTCAATCTGTAGGTGTTTACTGTAATAATGATATTCTGAAGTTGGTTTCATACTGTCTAATGTAAAACCTATTGGTGAGCTCATTGGTTTTTCGAATATGCTCATGTTTCATTGAATTTTATGATGATAATTTTTTAGGACAAGTGTTCCAGCCTTGTGTTCCAAATTGTGCCAACGGTGGTACATGTGTGTTTGGAGTTTGTCTCTGTCTTCCTAGCTATGAAGGACCTAGCTGTGAGGAACTAGGTATGTAATCCATGTGTGCGGCCTACCAACTACCTTTGGCTAGAGAACCCCTTGTTTTGAACAGCCAGGCATCGATCGTCTGTAAAATTAACGTAAAAAGTGAGCATAAAGCAATGTAAAGCTGAGCCGTGCATGGAGGTTTTTGAAAGTACACTAGGGGGTGCGGCCTCATTGTTAATTCAAAAATTCACTTTTGACCACTGACTCACTTTTATGCACACCTCTGTTATACTTAACATACATATTTTATATCAGCACCTACTTGTCTGCAAATGTATTTTTATTGTTTAAATTTTTGAAATAAAGATACCAAGATATAAACTTCTACTTACCAGTATATTATGAAGCTTAGAACTTTTAAATTTCTCATTTTGAATTATGTATTTACAGAAGAGACCCACATTATCTACAGTCAATTACACTTCACTATGTACTGTTACAAATTCTGTTTTATTCTCCAGTGGCCGTAGTGGAGTTGCTTATTATGCCAGGCCAAGAATTATTAGCGTCGAATCAAATGGCTTATTGGACATGCTACAGTAACATGACAGAGGAATTACCAGTTTGGCGTGGCCCTACTCAGGAGTACATCAGTCCAAAGGGCAACCTGGGTAAGAAACACACTTGATTTTTAATCATAATCATGTTTGGTGGAGAAAAAGAAAAACACTGCTGTTTATGACAGAGTGGCATCATTTTTATAATTTATTATATGCTGCATAAGTATTTACATGAATTATATTTATATATGCCAAATTTCCAGTACATCATCTAGCATAAACAGAAGGAGAATGAGGATAATTATGTATTTTGTCTGCATTATATACACCTTGCTAGAGTGGATGATTCCATTATTTTTCAAGGTTTTTTCTGCTAAGGGAATCTTGGCATATATTGGTTCATCCTGGTAAGCTTCTTATTATGTTTACTACCAACTCACCTGTTTTGTACTTTTTAATAAAGTAACTCAATTTTTTGCTATTTTTAGAGAATCATGTATATTCGGAACCAATGTCAAATGGAGAGACTCGTCTGGTCATTAATGGAGTCACAGAGTTAGATGAAGGCACCTATAGCTGTAGTGCTGGTGGCTACACAGAGAGTGTGAATGTCATAATGCGTAAGAACTCAAGTTTTTCTATATCTTATATGCATGATAGAACCTAAATTACTAGTGTAATATACAAAACTTAAAATATAGCAAACATTTAATGTTGATTTTTTTTTATAGAAAATAGTTTTACAACCCCACCAACAGTAACTGTTGAACGTTGTGAAATTGTCGGCTCGCAAGAATGTCGCGACCTGTTGTATTTGGATGCGGTGTTTCCAACAAACTTAGTAGAAGACTCTGAAACTGCTGAAACACTTGTAACAAAATTGAGCACGCTCGTAGATTGTCATAGAGCGAAAGACCTGTTGTTTTGCACTGCATTCTACAAGCCTTGTGATCGTAGCGATACATCTCTGCTGTTGTGCCAGTCGTTCTGTCGTGAACTTCTTGATAGCTGTGGCGGAGGGGCAATAGGTGTCCTCCAACGAGAGCAATTTCCCAACACACATGAGTTCCTGAAAGTCTGTGATGGACTTCCGCAACGGGATTGCATTGCCGGTACTAATCCTGGATCAGCTACACCGTTCCCATTCTGTGAGTCCATGGCACTGCATCCTCATCTCTTCCTTTCCATGACTCTGGAACATTCTGCTCAATTTCTCTTTCCTCTTACATTGGATGTTGCCTATCATATCTTGGATGCTACACTGAGTCTAATTTTTACAATCTATCTTTCAAATAATCAATCAATATGTTTTAATGAATAATCTCAACCTTTCAAACATAGCATGGATGCTAATCTAAACCTGATTGTTGATTCATTTTTTTTTCAGATTAACCTATTTAACTAATTATTTACCTATTTAACCTGACTAACCTGATTATATGGTTGATTTTTCACCTTTTCAACCAGATTAAACAGGTTAACCTTAAACCTGTTTCATATGATTACTCATTTTGCCCATTATGACATATACTTTGAAATTATAATTATTCATTAAAAACAAGTTGGTTTCTATGCAACACTACACCGTATCGCTGACAGCTTTCAGTGGTCATTTTGGGGAGCCTTCCCAATTGCATTGGCGACAACAATTGCACTGAAGACACTGTAGCGACAGTGTAGCGAGTCTATTTTGTGAATACTTACCTGGATAAACCAGTAAACACCTAAGTTTCCTTTGGAACTTACCTCTCGTGTATAAAGAAAAATAATGGAATTGCCCTAGCTTGCTTATATATGCCCTGCGTAAATGAACAATATCCTCGGGGAAGGGGCTTCAGTGTGGGGACCTGTTGCCCCTCTTAATGTGTCTTCCCTGACGCCTGTGGTCCCCTTCCATGCTTACTGCCCGCTTGGATGCCCGTGCCCAAGATAGTTCATTCCGTAGGGCTGCTCTGCGCCGTCTCTCGGCGGCATTTCCTGTGCCTGAGGCACAGTTCCTCTCCCTCGTCATGGCGTGCCCCCCCCCCCAGATTCCTAGGGCGGCAAGGACCAGGCTCTGTGAGGATCAGGGGCTCTCTGCCGGGTCCCGGTTATTCCTTTCTGACAAGGTCTGCTGCAGAGGTCGCCCTTCAGCTGGCCGATAGGGCAGCTTGTGAAGCCATGCGTGCTGTCTATGCATCTGGTTATTTGCTGTCCTTCTTCTCTAGTCCTGAGGCCCCTCCTGTTCTCGTGCCAGTATTTTAGGGAAACCAGGCTTAAGTACAGAAAGTATGTAAGATTTATTTCCCTTTTGTAGCGAACTGCCCTCAACCTTGCCGAAATGAAGGAGTGTGTGTCAGAGGTTATTGTGAGTGCGTACCTCCATTCTTTGGACCAACATGTCAGCAACGTAAGTCAGTAACAATTTTCTAACACATTATCATTACATAAGTATTTGATATTGGTGTCTAATGATAGAACAATATGACATAGCTAAGGAATACTTCACAGGAGCATTTTTCTCAGAAAACATGTATGCTCAGCAGCGCACTTGTCTTTGATCGTAACATAATAACTAGTCTGCCTAACCTGGGCAGGCAAGTTAAATGAGTGTTTATTATTTGCCAGTGTAGTTGCTATGTTGACTGCTGATGAGCTTATTGTTTAATGTACATATGATGAACATTCTGCCTTGCAAGACTAAAATTACCAAACTTGATACATTATTTGCTTATTGTAGTGTGACAAAAAACTCTTCACAAAAATCATGTATTCAGATTGAGCAAATCAGGTCATAAGACACCATTTGCTGAGTAAACTTACTAATTAAAGAAATAATTGTAGGTAATTATTATTAGGTAACAGTATTTTCCTTTGATTCTAAAATAGGTTTTCATGTGTTGCTGGCTTGAATCAATGTTGTTATTTATTCTGTGTATTGTGTTAGGTTACACTGTGGACGTGGAGATTCCATCTGGTTTAGTAACTTCAGCAGGAGCTAATTTAACTGTGTTATGCAAAACATCAGTGTATGCTAATGCCCCGTCCCCAGAGTGGACTGATCCAAGAGGATATCCAATCAGAAGAAAGGGTCCAAGTAAGTCATAGGTATTTATATACCTCAGTGAAAACCACATATATTCACATGATAAGTTAGTGTAAAAATCACTTAAAAATATACCCATCCTGTTTTTCCAATTCAAGTCACATCTCTGACTAGATAAATAAGTTTTATATATTGTAATTTACTACATAAAATTGCAAAACTAACTGTAATAACCGAAAGGTCCACTGATTAATCTCAGATAAGAAAGTATAATACATACTCCAAGTATTGAAATACATGCCATCGTGTTGGGATTCAATATTTCGACATTAATTATGTCATCATCAAAGTATTGAAATACATGCCATCGTGTTGGGATTCAATATTTCGACATTAATTATATCATCATCAGGATGATGATGACATAGTATTTCAATACTTGGAGTATGTATTATACTTTCTTAACTGTAATAAAGAGTGTGGAAAGATTATGATTTGTCATTTGCAGTTATGTAAAAAGAACTTCTTTGTATTTTTTTAAAGCTTCCAAATCTAGAATCTACACTGAGGCTGACCCAATAAATGGAGGGACTCGTTTAAACATCATTGGATTGAATCATGTGGATGAGGGCCAATACACTTGCACGGTCGGCAGTGTTGTCAAGTATTATAATCTGTTACTAGTCTGTAAGTATCACTCCATTAAATTTTCTTTCAAATGTTTGTAAACCTTTAAGACAATAGCAATAATGATAATAATATGATATCATATTTTATTTTTTTAAACGAATTAATTAGATAGTGAATGTTCATGAGTGCAGGGAAGAGAGGATTTTTAATTGCATATTGTTGAGTTTTAAACTGTAAGGCCATTTTAGAGATTTGATGCGTAAATTTTGGTCCATGTGTGAGTTTTCAGACTATCGAGTTTGTAAACTTAGATGGTAATTGTAATCTTAACAGAACATAGGCTCCTTGCTTTTTCTGCAAAAGCAATTTTATATATAATTTATGTTATTTATATTCATGTGTACATATTGCAGTTCAATCTTGCTTCCCACCTTGTCAAAATGGTGGCATTTGTGAGGCAGGGACCTGCAGGTGCCCCTTTGGATACAGTGGGCCATCCTGTCGTGACCTCCGTAAGAACTCCCTTCACCACTGCATGGTGCTTGTGAATGCCTGCTTATACCTTTTGCAAGAATTTGTCTCGTCCATTATATGTTTAATTATCAAAAAATTCTGAAATGTTCCATAAACATAGATAATGACGATGATGATTATCCTTCCTCACTTTTCTATAGGTAAATCTATTTTCTCTCTCCTCCCTTTGCCTGTGATGTAATGCACCAATTTGCATCATTGCTTGTCTCTTCATAATATTTGTCTCTATTATATGTTTATATTGCTAAGATTCTAGAATATTCATAAATTCTCAGATTCATAGAAATTGATTATTATGATTCTTTGCTAGATTTTTTCCAAAAAAGAATGACAGATATTTTACTATTTTTTATTGTATTCTAGTTAACACCATTTCCTGTGGATTATTAAGCATGATGGTACCTCTATAAAAATATAATATTTTTGTTCTGCTTCATGAATACTTACTTCAGATGAACCGATATATTCCAAGATTTGCTTTATGGAACTTACCTGATAAATAATGGAATTGCCCTCCACAAATGATTGTAATAGATATTTTCCACATAATCATCCTCATTCTCTTTTCACTTATGTGAGATGATGGTTATGACTGCTCTAATACCTGTCAATTTTTAATAATTATGTATAAAGGATTGAAAAAAAATCATCGGGTTTCATAATGTTTATCAAAGAAAATATTTTAATATAAGTACTGTATTAAGAATTTAACTTTATACTCTCCATTTCTGTGGAGTATGAAAAGATGCACTTATCTTGCATTTGTATATTTCACTTCTCCAATATGTTCTTTATGAGATGTTAATGTTTTGTATTGAAAAATATTATAGTCTTTGTATTGCTTAATGTTTATCTATTCATAAAGCCTGACATTTTCCTTTTCTTTTTGAATGATTCTTTTTAATTATTGTAAATAATTTTAGGTGTAAAGCATCTTGTTGTTATTTCTGTATTATATTGTATAATAATTTTAATCAAGTATTTTTATGTTTATTTTTTAATGAAATTATTTATTATCTCAGAATACAAACTTTACATTTAATTTTGTATGTATGAAGATTTCTTTCAAACCATTGTACAAAAACCTGCTTTCGCATTCTTTGTGTGTATTGTCTTGAATACTGTTTATTTTTTTTTGCTGATTCCACCCATTAGATTACACTTCCTCTATGTATTAAATCATGTTCCTAACTGGCTTTTGAAGGATATTTCTCGAACAATAATATGGATAGTGCAATATATACTGAACTACCCTTGATAAATAGTATTAACAATAAAATTAATTATGAACCTTTTCACGTGCTTGTCTTGTATTTGAGTGTGACTATCCTATAGTTTACCACTAATACATCATAACTAATAATATTGACTCACTTTGCCTTCCATAGTTAACCCAATAACTGTCAACAGCAACTCTGTCATCGGTGACCCATTCGCAGGAGGAGATTTGGCAGTCACCTGCGAGGTGTCCAACCCAGGTTCAACACCGCCATATTGGCTGGATAACACAAACCGTCGTGTACCAGAACTTCGACAAGGTAATTATTAAGTAATAATTTCTTATCAATAATATTTAAATGACAAATACCTGTGATTTGCCCATATTTTTGTGTAATTTGACACTAAAATAATAATAATAATAATAAATAATAACAATAATAATAATAATAAATAATAACAATAATAATAATAATAATAATAATAATAATAATAATAATAATAATAATGATGATGGTTGACTTGCATAGCACATATTTTAGAGACCTCCATGCACTTAGCATTATTACCCCCGGTCATTGGATCAAGCACACTCAGCTCCCTGGGGAGAAATCCATAATGTTGTAGCTGTAATCAGCGCATTTTGTGTGTGAACCTAATAGGTAGCCACTTGTACTCGTGGGTGGAGAGAGACAACTGTAGATAAAGTACCTTGCCTAAGGACACTAGCCAAATACACAGTGTGGGATTGAACCTCTGACCTCTACAGAAGCAGAACCACAAACACTGCCAAACCGCTAATACCACTATTATGACCACATGTGGGCAAATGACATAAATTTTTCACATAAAATCTGATAGTGAGGACAGATCATTAGATTTATATATTATTATTATTAGTTTATATTCATTGATTGTATTTTTTTTGATAGGACCAAGCAACCGATTGTACTCTCAGGTAGTTGATGGTTACACGACAAAGCTACACATCAAAGACATCCAGCTGTCTGATGCCGGAATTTACACCTGCGTAGCTGGAAGATTTCGACAGTTGTTCAATATGACCGTCAGAGGTGAGTCAAATTTTGTTTTGGTTATCTAATTTTTTTTTTATATATAAATTCTTAATTTTACAACACACCAAGGATAACCCAAGTCTGAAGAATTTTTTCCAGTGGGTCCACCTTTTGGTATTTTACTAAGCAGTACATTGTGTGACATTTCCAAAATTGATACAAAAGAGTGACTGCATTTTTTAACAATCGCATACCCATGGCCGTTTCTTGAACTCTTACCAAAATATGCTAAGGTTTCCTCTGTAGAATACCCCTTGAAAATAAATAGCACTGTGTAGGGTGTTATATACTCCACTCCAGGGTGGAAGATTCTATTATTCTCAAGGGTATTGTATGGCAGATAACTGTTTATCCCAGGTATGTGTTTCACTCAGTCATGAAGTTTAATCAAACAAAATTTAGTTTTTATATGTACTGTTTAATATTTGTAGTCGTCATCAGAACTTTGTTTTTTATTTATATTTCTCACCCACACACTACCAACTATACAATTTATTTGTATTCAATTTTTTCTAGCCCCTATCGTCCAGTGTATTCCATCATGTCTTAATGGAGGTAATTGTGTTAATGGTCAGTGCGTCTGTCTCCAAGGCTTCACTGGAAACTTTTGCCAGCAAGGTAAGCATTCGTTCAATTATGGTATTTTAAATTTGCCAGTACCCAACTTCGAACAACGTCGAAAAGGGAAATGAGGACGTTTGTTAGGGAGACGGTTCGCACGTGGCGCCTTGGGTCGGACTGTTCCATTTTTTTTCGAAGGGGTGTTCCGTTTTAGGAACAATGGCAATTAGTCGGTTATCCAGGTAAGTATCTCACTCATAGACTACCAACATCACGAATGATTTGTGTAATTTGCCAGTTGATGTTGGCATCTAAAATTACATAAGTTTTCTCCATGAGGGCTGGCTTCCTTTTGTTATGGATAAAATATTGGTGATAAGAATAATGATGAATGCTAGTATTTATCACTGTTGATTGCATTTTAGAATTAGGTTATCTGATTGACTATGTTTTAGATTTTGTTGATAGTTTTCGCAGCCATCACAACAGCTTCATTCAGTGATCATAAGACTAGTTGGAATAACTCAGTTCTCTAAATCAAACTGAAAAAGTTTATTTTATTTTTATAGTCATGATAATTAAAATACAGTTCTTACTCTAATAAAAGACCCCTCCAATTAAAGACCACTTTTCTAAGGCCCCCGATGAACACAAATCTTTTATCTTCATAAGCTCTTAAAGATTATGAAAATGTTGGTCGCTAAAGTGGCCTTTAAATTGAGGGGATCTGTATAAGTTAAATTTAACTTCCATTTTTGTTAAACCAGTTACATAAGGGTTATAATTACCTCTCTATGTTTCAAACTCTCTCAGCAATCTTTCTCGAGTGAATGACGATGCTGTATGTAATATTGTATGTGATAGTATAAAGGTAATGGTAATACTCAACAGTTAACAAATGAGATGATTTCTTATGATCATAAATTGAATTATTCTGATTTTTTTTAGTACTGGCCCGTCAGTGCATACCATCATGTTTGAATGGAGGCAACTGTATTCAAGGACAATGCAGATGTCTACCTGGTTACACTGGTAGCTATTGCCAGCAACGTTAGTATCATATGTTATATTCATTTGCATACCGACATTAACCACTTAACCTCATGTGTTGCATTCATTTGCATAGTGACAACATCTACCTGGTTGCACAGGTGGCTATAGCCAGAAAGATTAGTATTGTATGTTATAATCATTTTCATACTGACAGTAGCCACCTGGTTACACTTGTGGCTATTGCCAGCAAAGTTAGTCTCATTTGTTACATTAATTTGCATACTGAAATTAGCCAGACACAGATACGCAAATTACAGATTGGTATTACCACCAAAGTCTCATATGTTATATTAATATTTTTTTCCCAGCTAATCCAGTTAATGTCCCTACTAATATCATCTCTGAAGGAAGTCCTCTTGGTGGAGATGTTACCATCAACTGCGAACTGTCTCGTGCTGGACCAGCACCACCGATATGGATTGACAGCCAGAACAACAGGGTCGCATCAAAATCACTGAGTAAGTACTGCATTTGAGTTTGTGCTATAGGCTGCCAACCCACTTACTTACTCCATTGAGAAGTATAGTGTGTTTGAAGGCAAATGCATGGATTTTTATTGTGACAACATTATTGGAAACAGAGCTAAGTTATATGTTATATGACTTAATGATTGGGGTAATAATTAATGTGAAGTGCGTGGTAGCTTTGACATTATGCGCTTGTAAAAACTGCATTTAATAATTATGTTATAACTGTTTATTAATATAGATATTGTTGACTATTTCATGAATACTTATTTGATTTATGTGATTATGAAGATATAAGAAAGTATTAAATAATCCATAATTTCTATTTACTAAAGAAATTTACCTAAAATATATCTTGCATTCATTTGCATATTTTCAATTTTTTCTTAAATACAGGCAACTCTCACATTTACATAGAAGTCCTCAGTGATAGAGCCACAAAGTTGGTGATAAAGAACATGCAAGCAAGAGATGCTGGCCTGTACACCTGTATATCAGGAACATTTAGACAGGTGTTCAACCTAACAATAGAATCCGGAGGTAAGATACTTTATTTAGGGCAGAAACAATGCGCAATCATGTACATTCGGCAGTCAACTAAATCCTATTCTTCACCATTGGGGCTGACTATATTAACATTTGGTGTTAGAGACATCTTTTAATGATATTTTTTATTGTCAGAAATTAGGTATCGCACTTAAAAACTACCAACATCGTATTTGATTTGTGTACTCTCTTTTGTCAGGTATGCTAAGCAAGATAATGAAATTTATTGCTATTATTATTATGTTTTTTTCCTTTCTATATATTGTATTGTGTTTACATTCTGTCAAATAATGATATAAATACTAGTACCGTAGTGCAATAATACTAGCAGGCCTATTCATACTCGATCATTTATACCATTTTCATAAATACATTTAGTTGCTATTGATATGATGTTGGCATCTATTTCGTGAATACTCACCTGGATAAACTGAATAATTGCCTTTGTTGCTGAAACAGAACACCAATTTGAATAAAATATATTAGTCCATGCCAGGGCACCTCGTACAGCCTGTTTCCCTGACAATTAATTTGCAAATTAGAGCATAGCAAAACAGAAGTTTCTAGTGCTTCAAATAATCTAATCATCTTGATTATGATTTCTCTTATCCTCCTCTGTTTTTCAGGACCATTACGTTCCTGCTTTCCCAATTGTCGAAATGGAGGCATCTGCCGGGATGGTGTCTGCCTTTGCCCAGCTCAGTTCACTGGAAGCTACTGTCAAACACCAACTTCACGTAAGAATTTTGATTTATTTTTAATTTGTGAAGTGAATATTTTACTCTAGTTTTACTGGACTAAAATAATGTAAAGGAATACTAGAGATATATGATATTGAAGCGGTTCTGTAAGTGGTCTGCTTGTACCAGGTGGTAGTACCTTAGTCCGCCACTTACTCACAACTCTTCATCAAGTTCCTCCCTGGAGCACAGTGATGCTGCAGTTTAAATGTGGTGCTCCATTAGTAGACCTGTATATTCACCAGTTCCAGCAACAAGCAGTTTTTGTATCAATATGGCAGCAGTTCCGTTAACCTAGCTGTTGGCTTTAATTTTGAACTTAGCAGAAGTGTTGACAAACATGCAAGAATTGCAATCATCTCAGCTTTTGTTGTGCCATCGAACTACAGGATGACTTGCCAAAGGGACACTGCATGGCGCTAGCCTGTGCGAGCATCATCAGCACAGATAACAGTTGTTGGGATGAGTCAGTAAGATTTTAGAAATGTTTATTTTTCAGCATCTTCAACTTTTTCCATCTTGATATCCGCAAGTGGTAACAATGTCCGTCCATATGCGGGCTCATCTGTGTCGTTCGTCTGTGAAATGCGAGATGTTGATGTAGCATCCCTACTGTCGCTACAGGCACCCACCTGGTATGATAAGCAAGAAAGAGTTATTGGTCCCAAAGAATCAGGTAACCTTTGTCACATACAGTAGCTACCATTTTTTGGTTCGTATTTACAACAGGGACCTTTTTATTTGATTTCATATGTGTGCGTGCGTATGTGTATGTTGACATTTTTAAACTGACAAACATGACTTTCAAAATATCAGTTAGTTATGAATTTTTTTACCCGAGCTAAACTGGATATGACGTCGTCTGTGGAGTGCGCAATCGCTTCGTATTCTGTTCTTGAACTGCAATTTAATTAGAAATTTACTGCAGCGAGTTCTCTGGCCTCTGATTGGTCAAAATATGCATAGAGGGCCATTTATTGTCCTATTAAAGTGCTTATGTTTGACAGCAAAGGTTGTCTTTAGCCTCTATCAAGAGAAGAAAAAAAATCAAGAGAAATTGCATTAGCCTCTATCAGAAAAAAGAAATCAAGAGAAATTGCATCAATTTATGTTCAGGTTAAGTTATCATAAAGGATTGTTTTAACAGATGCTACCCGAGTATATGTTGAGGAGATGTCACGCACAGCATCTCGCTTGGTGTTTAGTTACCTCACAATTCCAGACGAAGGACAGTACAAGTGTGTCATTGGTCCACAAACAGCTATTGTCAACGTAACAGTTGAAAGTAAGTCATTCACTTTTTTCCCTAACTCTCGGGTCCCAAATCTTGCATGAGGTGGGGGAGTCTCAGAAATCAAGACAGCCTTCTGCACTCCCACAAGAAAACAAACTAATCCATCTTTTGCAAATTGATTATATTTACATTTTTTTCCCTGTTTATTGTTGTTTGCCTCATGGAAGGGGGGTATTACCATGTACAAGTGGCTTCTTCCACCATTGGGACCCTGCTAACTGGTAATCATTAAACATGATTTCTATTCTTAACAATGTTGTTGTCTAATTTTACTTCAAAAAGGTATTTTTCTATAGTATTTGAGATGAAATTTGACTTTTTTTTAAAACGTATATTGTCTATATATATTTTTCTTTGTAGTTGATCCTAACAACTTCTGTATCCCGGACTGTATGCATGGTGGTCGGTGCATAGGAGGCTCATGTGAATGCCCACCAGAGTACGGAGGCTCGATCTGCCAATTCGAAGGTACCAGTTCCAGTGGCATTAATTATAAGTACACACTGTACACATGCACAAAGGCGTAGTATTTAGCCTTGTGTTAGATAGACGGTCTGGCAATATGGCAGTAACAGTGTGTCATTATGCTTACCAACACCAATTCATTACCAACCTTATGCAGAAAGCACTGTTTTGGGAATATTGCATTAATGTTACTATGTTTGAGACAGAATGCTGTGTTACTGCAATATTGCAGTTGCAGTGGGTTCTTACCTTTTTTATCAGGATAATTTATGCAAAATTGCAGTAATGCCGTTTAGTAATTGCCACATGACTGTTTTTACAGGCACTTGGTTACATTCATACCATCTGCTCATGCAACTTCCACTGCTAATCCTGCTTTACATTCCAATATTAATTTATTTATAATGAATAATTAAACATTTTTATTTCTTAGTGAAAACCGACTGTTCATTGCCTTGTATGAACGGTGGATTCTGTAGCACAGGCAAGTCCTGTCGATGTCCCCGTGACTACTTTGGACCCCAGTGTAATTTCAAATGTAAGAAGACAATTTATAATTACTTGTTATATTAAATCTTATCATAATTGTTAAAATTAGCATTGAAAATAGCATCATCATACTCCTCATTATCATCACCATTTTGGATCATATTTTTAATTGATGTGATTGTTGTATGTTTTTTGATAAATATATAATTATCAGTAAAATTCATCATCATTAATATCATCATCAATAACATTATCAAAGATGGACCCAACTTATAACATTATTTTCTATAGACTGTAATTGGCTATATCATTATCATTAAAATTGTATTAGTTAATAAGTATATCCTTGAATGTCATACATTTACAGCTGTACGTGGTAGGATGATCAATATTATTCCACAATACATCACCGCACCAGACCTAGGTGCCGACATCAGTCTTGTGTGTGAGGTGAAACATTTTACCACAACCCCAAAATGGTTCACACCTGATGACACACTGATTCAACCTAGAGTAGCAGGTAAGAATGATGATGAAAAAAGTGGTTTTGTTTGGTAAATGGGTTTTCTCCGCCTGTATATAAAAGCGGTGTGGTGTGATTGTCATTTTGGTGTCATTACCCACAACCTTTGTTCTGTAAAGTGGTATTTTGTTTCAGGACTGCAGCTTTCTTTACACCATCTTTTCTGTGATTACTACCTTTAATTTGTCCATATATGGGTGTCCTGATATATCACTCCTGTGTACTGTATTATAATTTTTTATTTGGATTATGATTTTTGATTGTTGTTTTATAAACTTTATGCAAATATGAGAATTATTTACTATTGAGATAAATAATATCAATAGCAGGAATACAATACATAATCATCATTTGTGCATTTGTTTATAGATTTTATTGGGTAATGCTTTAAATTTAATTGTCTTTAATGTTATTCAGGTGACCTCGAAAGTGATGTGTATATAGTGAACATGACACCCACTAGAGTTCAACTTTATATTCAAAACATTCAGCCAGGAGACACGGGATCATACACTTGCCGAGTGAATTCTTACGACAACCAGTTCATCATTCAACTTAGAGGTACTTTACATGTAGTTACTTACAGTTATTTGTATAAGGCTCCTTATGTTTTATAGATATATGCTTAGTACACCTGTAGGAGGAGTGAGAGGATGTAGGATTGATTTATGGGGTTTGGCAGGAGGTTGTGTGAATTTAAGTATGGCTTGCTGAGTGCATGAATGTAGGCATGACTTGATCTGCTAGAGGGAGTATGTGAATGCTGGAGTGGCTCATGGTAGGTGGTTGGCTTTTGAGTTAAATTGCAGGGGTGACTTGCAGGGAATGTCGAGAGTGAATGAACGTAGAAGTGATAATCAGGGCTGTTCTGACTTACATTGACTTACGGAGCTAGTTGTTGGGGTGGGAGTAGTGAGTGAATTTAGGAGTAAATTCAGGAGGCTGGTGGAGGAGTCAGTGAGCGTAGAAGTGACTTATGGCAGCCGATAGGGGGGAAGTGAGTTGAGAAGTTACTATAGAGGACTGGTACAGCAATGATTAAACTGGCGAATGATTAAATGTAGAAGATGTTAGTTTTAGGCTAGGCTAGTTAGAGAGGAGGAAGAATGGGTGCTTAGATTCAGAGGGACTTGGGATTTGCAGTGTGAACGCATGAAAACAGCATTTTTCATTGGCCCACTGAAATATTATTGTGTTCAATCAATTTTAGTAGTAGAAGTAATTTATTTGAATGTCTGTTCATCTTTTTTTCTCCTTCAACTCATCCAAGACTCATCTTGTTCCAAGCCTTGCCTCAATGGAGGAGTATGTGTTAGTGGAAGGTGCCAGTGTGTTGGCCCTTTCACAGGTCTACAGTGTCACATCAGAGGTAAGAGACCTTCCCCACCTGTAATATGTAAATATGTTGCTTAATTATTATTCACAACACATGTTATTTTTGGATATATAAATATTCGCATATTATCCAAAAATGTACTTACTGTATATATGTTATTAAACATATTTGTCAAGATTATATAGTATATATTGTATATTTTATTTATAATAGTATATGTTGTATAGTATATAATATGTATTATTTAGATTTTGTTGTGTTATGTATACGAGTATACTGCACTTTATAGCAATTTCTAACCCTATATTTAATAGATTATATTTTCTTTGGCATAACATATTATATTATTAAAATTTGTAGTACGAATGCAGTATTACATCTAATAAAATGATTGATCCTAATGAACGACATGTTTTGATGTGTCACACGTCATCATCAGGCAAGTGCTTATGCTATTACCAGTTTATATGCACTACCAGTCTGTTTGTATGCATCTGAAGGGTAGTACATAAACTACTGTAGTAGTAGCATAAGCAATGTTGCCTGATAATGACATGTGTCATTTATTAGTATCATTCATTATAATGTATGTATTTTTATTTTAATGTTGTATGATTTTCTTATATCATAAGATTTTATAATTTTAATTATTATAGGTTTGTTTATACACTGTATTGATTGATATTTATTTTTATGTGTTTCATTGTTGCTAAAGTGTTTTAATGTACAAAACCTTGCATAGCATAAGAGTGATAATGCTCAGTAGTAGTAATTCTCATTTGGGAAGAAGAACAATAATTTATAAAAATATATAAATCTTTAAAAAAAGTAATAAAATGTAAACACTAAAATACATTTTATTTTTATTCATAAAATGCTAATCCTATTTAAAAGGCAGTGACTTGGCACATACAAGGTTTTGAACTTGGAGTTGTTTTTATTTTGTTTTTACACATAACTCAAATGATAACAACAAAGAAAAATATAAACAGAAGTCATATGCATACAATATTGAACAATTATTAGTAATATAAATGTGAAAATGATAATGATAATATGTATTAGATGTATTGATATCCAAATTTTGAATTAAAAATAAATAAATGTCTATTCATGAATAGTTAACTGGATAAACTGACTAATTGCCAGTTGATTCATCCAGGTAAGAATCTCACCCATAGAATACCAACATCACAATTGATTGGTGAAATTAGAGCCAATAAAACAGAAATGAACACTCTGGCCTATCACAGGTCAGCTCTGGTTTTGGACTTTACCTTGTACCTAAATATTAAAACTACAAGACATTATAATTATTAATGTTAGTTTAAATTTGATTTCCCACCTGAGTTGATTTTGTTGCAGTTTGCTATGCTAACTCTCACTTTTAAAGCTCTGGCCACACTAGCAACTTTTATGTCACAAAAATATGTGGTATATGGGCATGATGATGTCACATCACTCCATAGGTATTTGTCACATAAATGCTGACAGTGTGGACATGAGCTTAATGCTTTTTGCTGTTGTGCTGTATGTTATGTTGTCACTTGTGTTGTAGTTGTAGCTAGTGAGTGTCCTGCTCCCTGTCTCAATGGAGGGCGCTGTGTCAATGGTCTATGCCAGTGTTTAACAGATTTCAGTGGTGAACGTTGTCATCTTAGAGGTAAAAATATTACAAAGCAAGGTCAAATGTAATGTAAAGGTCATATTTTTCATTTTAAGAATGTTAATGATTGTTTGACTAAATATATAGGCTTGGTATGTATGATTCTAATGAAAATTGTATTCTAGTTTTAATTTATAATGAATATATATTCTTTGTATTTCTTTGTTACCATATGTATTCTTAGGATTAATTTTTATGACAGAAAATTAAAGGTAAAATATACTGGACAATAAACTATCAATAAAAAATAATACGTGATAATTAGTTTCACCATTTATTAAACATAATTTCATCCGAATGATATGTTCATTATCATCAACATCAGCATTATTTCCTTAATCGTCAAAAGCCATTGCAACCCATGAAAGTTCTCAAATGTCTTCAGTTAATGAGATTGCAACATAGTGAATCTTATACTAGTTCTTTACCAACAAAAACAAAATGAATATTAATTTACAACTCGTTCTATTATTTACATAAGTTTTTGTAAAATTATAATGTTGTTGGATATTTAAGGCCGACTCAGACAGCGTGTACAACACAGTCCGATGCAATTCTTTATCATGGACAGTCTAAGCCACCTAGAGAAATATTAAACATGTTTAATATTCTACGATGTGACAGCCACCAACACAAAGCATTGCGTCTGCGTTTAACTCACACAGATCTGAAGTGACAACAAATCACATCGGGCTGCATCGTACAATGCTGTCTGACATTTACGTTTGTTCATTTTGCAAGCAAACTGTGAACCTTGTTGTAGCTATATGCTAAAATTACCCTTTGATACGCATTCTCTTACCCAGTTGCAGCTGGCTACATAGTCAGTGTTAATCCCAATACTCTGGATGTACCGCAACTTGGCACCCGTCTTAACATCCTCTGTGAAGCCAATGGCAACAGCCAACGTTTGACGCAACCACTTTGGCAAGGACCGCAGGGAGACATCATTCTACCACAGAGAAGTAAGATTTCTTATTCAATGACATGTTCTAGTAATAATAATAACAATAATGATATAGGGATTTATACCGCGCATTTTACCTAGTGATGCAAGATAGGCCTACTACTACTTCTAGAGATGCAAAGTGTAGTAGTAGTTTTTAGTGTTTAATGACTATGTTGCAAAGGCTAATTTTAAGGATGAATCTACAAAAAGAAAAATATCTGTTAAAAGAAGCTTTGTAGTCAGTTGTTGTTGTTGATAGTGATATGATTTGTCATGGATCAAATCTTGTAATATTTCAATTAAAGTTGTCTATTTTGTGAATATTTACCTGGATGAATCGATGTAAGCCAGATTCCTAATGGGTCTTCCCAGCGAAAAATAATTGAATTGTATAACCCAGGTCAGGCACAGATCCAGAGAAGTCCGGAAGGCGGCCAAAAGTGGGCCGATCGAGATAACAGTACCCTAGGGGTTCGGAGGACACGCCCCCGCGAAATTTCTGTGTTCTAGACGCCAAAAAATAACCCCTGAGGCCTTTTGGGTGATACATGTTTTCTTTTTTCTTTTTTTTTTTGACTTTTCAAAAGGGCTTCCTCTAAATCCGCCCCTGCAGGTGAATTTACTTATCTGAAGTATTAGTAATAGCTCACAAAGACTTTCAATTAGTTAGTGCAATTACAGAAATTTGAGTAATTTTGGTTATATATTCTAGGTATTAATGACCGTGTGTACACCCAGGCAATATCCTCAACAGGAACGAACCTAGTCATTAATAATGTACAAGCATCAGATATGGGAAGCTACACCTGTATTGTTGGTACACTGACAAACGTCTACCCTGTCCTTGTCGAAGGTAAGTTATAAAAAACATTTCATTAGCCATATTTATGCAGACGTGGGAAAAAATTCTACTCTAAATTAACTACTGCTTACCTGGTTATGAAGTATTTATAGTATTAAAAGAAATACAACATAGTTTAATTTCGAGCAACTATTGAATTATACTTCCCTCAGTGTTTCATTTGAAACTACCTTCCTCCACCTCATAGTTAGCATGAATTATCCATCATTCAGAAAGCAGAATTTACTATGTTTCATCATATCAAACAATGTTGTGTTTGTGGTATATTGTGGATTATAGTTGTGATGATATTGTTACAACTTATGCCAGTATTTTGTGGTGTATGCTCACTTATTAATTTCTTTTATTTACATCATCAGATCCTGGATGTCCACTTGGATGTGACAATAGTGGACAGTGCCAGTATGGGCGTTGCATCTGCCCAAGTGAATACGCAGGAACACGATGCCAGTTCAGAGGTAAGTTTCAAACGTTCCACGTCTTTGTAGGCAGCTGTAGCCATCTTGATGTCAAACTGTGGTCAATTAAATTCCTTAGTTATTAAAAGGAGATACACACATGGATGTAGACCTGGATAAACTAGCTATTGTCATTATTTCTTAGTGAACACCCCTACAAAGAAAGTAGAACCATCCATCCCAGGGAAGTACATGGCCACACAAATATGTTAGGCCTTGTTTCTCGTAATTAATTATTTTTTTCTCCACAGTTACCGAATGCCGCCTTCCATGCAATAATGGTGGCATCTGTCGCAGTGGTCTGTGTATTTGTCCTCCAGGATTTACCGGTGAAATTTGCGAAACACGTCGTAAGTAAATAGTTTAATGTCAGATCATCTTAGAAAACTTTAGAATATTTAGTAATACGTTTCTTGAAGATTTTTGCCTGAGAAACTGATCTTACTTGATGGCTTTCAATGATTTATTTTTATAGTAAGTGATGAATATATCTTTACCATCGAGCCAAACATCAAAACCACACCCTACCCTGGTGCAGACCTCGAATTCTCATGTGAGGTTATAGGTGATGGACGATATGCCCAACCTTACTGGACATACCAGAATGGACAACGTGTTGGCCCATATGGAATAGGTATGAGGTTTTCATTTTCACCTATTTCGTGTCTATTACTGAGATACCAATTATGAAAAGGCTCAATGAAAAAGACCAATACATAAATTTTTACATAAGGAATATGATGTACCATTTTGAAAATTCCTGTATAGAATTGGTATTGTAATATAGACCAGTAAACATAATTGATATTATATCTCTCACTCATTACATATTACTCATTACATACCTCTTTGAGGGATATTGATAGACCCTATTTTCTTTTTTACACAATCTTTAGGGGCGGGTCCAGAGATGTCCAAAGGGGGAAGTGGGTAAAAGTTGGGCCGATCGAGACAACACTATTCTAGGGGGTCTGGGGGAATTCCCCCGCAAAAGTTTTGTATTCTAGACGCCCGAAAATAACATTGAGGCATTCTGGGCTATCACTTTTTTTTCTTTTTTTTTTTACCTTCCAAAAGGGCCGGCCATTCCCCCCTCCTAAATCCGCCCCTGATCTTGCATGTTTAACAAGCTCATTTATATACAATATACACCAGTTGTTATATGTAATTTATAGTGTTGTAATTTTTGAATTTAAACATTTTAACAGGCAAGCATATTGGAATTCAAGCTGAATCTAGTAAAGTAACAACACTCATCGTGAAGAATGCCACCGAAGATGATTCAGGAATTTACACCTGCTGGGTTGGACAAGATGACAACCGATTCAAGATACAGGTGTACGGTATGTTGAAAATACAGGGGTAGTACAGTTGTTACAATACCAAATGAAGAGGCCTGCATTTCGATTAATTAGCTACAGTAGAGCATTGGCCAGTACCGACATGTAACAGATACATTGTCCCTTAACCTGCCCAACTCTCATGTGAGGGTTATTTTAGAAGCCAAACAAACAAACCGTGAAGATTACCTCTCAGCCAAACACTTCACTTTATAGAATAGTGATGAGCATGTGATATGGAGTGGCATTTGTAATAGTTCGTCAGTTTTTGTTAGAAAGATAACATTTTATTTTATCTTACAGAGCGCCCTTGCCTACAACCGTGTCAAAATGGTGGTAAATGCGTGCACAGTGTCTGTGAATGCCCGGCGGATTATAGTGGCGAATTTTGCACTATCAAACGTATGTGGTTCAAATCTGCAATGTTCTTTTATAGGATTAAATGTATAAGAATTAGATAATACTCTAGTAGTTTATTTTAAGTTTAGTAGAAGCAACTATATCTTAAATTTTTGTGTTGAGAATTTATGGTTCTCTAAATATGAAAGCAGATTTGAATGTAAAAGATAATATCTTTTTCTAATTTTGCTTCAAATCTTGAAAGAATAATCAAAATTCAGCTTTAAAAAAGCAAAAGTTGATAACTTTCAGTTTCAAGGATTTGTTACCATTGTCATTTTCTCAATTCATTTTTAAAAATATGTTAACAGCAAACAATTTTCTTGTGGAATGTTTTGAACATGACGCTACAGTACTATAGTTGCTCATAGCAGCTATGTAGTCACAGACCACGCCCATACGCAATTCAGCACAATGACGCTGCAAGTTATGGGTTATTCTCCTTCCATCTACTTTTCATGAATATTTACCTGGATAAATCAACTAATTACCATTGTTCCTTTAAGAAAGCTCCTACTTTAATGTATTCTAATTCTAATCATATTTATGGTTGTTTTGGTTATATATCTTCAATTGCAGTGAACACCTGCCTACAACCATGTGAGAATGGTGGAACATGTGTGGATGGGAGATGTGTCTGTGCAGAAGGTTATTCTGGTGACTTCTGCAGCATGCAAGGTAATTTTTTGTTTTTGATTTTTTTTGTAAATCAAAGATTGATTATGTCTCACATTCATTAGTATTGATTGGTAAATTGTTCCAGGAAAATTACCTATTGGGTTTTGTAAGGTAGGTGTTAGTTTTCTTGACAGTGTGTCGTAGGAGTCTTCCAGAAATCAGGATGGCCTCCTGCACTCATGCAAGCAAGAATCTCCTGGAAGATAACACATCTCCTGCAAATTCATAATATTTTCATGTTTTTACTACTTTATTATCAATTGTCTCACAGAAGTCAGTGCCATTAGGTATCTCCATGAGCAGCAAAATACAGTATGTTAAGGAAGCCCACTTAACCAGACCTCCCGGAAGGATTCCTTCCAATTTGGGACCCCTGAACTTGTAACAGTCTTGGTGAAACACATTGTTTTTCAGGTATTCTCTAAACAAGCAGAAGATTACGCTATCAAAATTTGACCAAACATTTTCTTGTGGGTCTTGTCAAGTAGAGTGTATGCATGGATTACACTATTAAGATGAAGAACAGTCTATTTTTGTTTAAATTTTATCTTGTCAATATTTAAAAAATATAAAGTTGTTAAATCATCAATTGAGAGATAGTAAACTGTTTGTTTGCATGTTGTTTAATTTAACTACTCGTTTCAGCATGTGATCCACCATGTGAGAATGGTGGCAGGTGTCTTGGTCCAGACATTTGTGTTTGCCGTGCTAATTTTGCAGGCAGTTACTGCCAGCATTCAGGTAGTCAAGTTGATATTCAGCTTTATCAGTCTATCACTTTGTAGCTTTAATTTTACCTTTGCACTTATTTGCATCACTATTATATATAAAAATATAATTAGTTTATAAATATTTCATATATGAACATCATAATGAAGTCTATTTTGGGGTGGAGTGGGTGCTAATATCGCAACCAAAAATAATCTCTGATGTGGCTGCCAGCAAATATCTTTAAATTTGCCAAAATATGCATGTTTCTTTTTTGTTACAATTATTATGCACAAAAACCTTACAGCGGACCTTTCACATTTTTTAATTTTTGTGCATTGTTTCATATGAACATATTTAACATTTTGTTGATTTCTCCTATGCACATTGATAATTGAGATTTATATTACGTCAAAATCCGCTACAAGCAATTTGGTGATGTCTATTGCAGGATGGAAGGGAGGAAGTTTAAATATAGGTCTCCCTCCAAATAAGACCACTTTTGGGACTGGGGTTTTCATGGTCTTTCTAATCGATGTGATAGAGGGAAGCCTGTATAAACTTATAAACATGTCAGCCAATGTAAAACAGAGTTCAGTGAAAGATCCACTTTAATGAAACTATTCCAAAAATATGAATTTACTAATAATATAGACCTAGCATTTGTGTGTAGTCATTATTAATTATTGGTATTTGATCTTTTACATTATCATATATGTAGAAAAAACATTGCTATAGTGTTTAGCTGAATTATTAGACAATGTTTAATTTTTAAGCAAGATTCATGTAGAACCATTTACTTTAGATTTTTTTAAATTATTAATGTTCCTTTCATTTGTATTTGATTTCATGCCAGTTTTTATTTGTCATTCATTGAAATAAGTTTGTTAAAACTAATGGTAGATTCCTTATTAACTTCCTCACGTTTTCCCCATCATTTCCCCCTGCATAGTACGAAAAATCATTTCAAAGCTTTTTTTGCTTTGTTCACACTGTTGAGTGCTACAGTAAGTCTTTCCTGAAAATTTCTGTGACTTATCCTTATATGGGGATGATTAATGCCATTTAAAATCAAGCAGGTCACCTGTATTTGTCAGTTGATAACTGATAGTGTAGACAGAGTTTAAGCTATTTTAATAGTATTCCTAGTTTTCTAGATCAAAGTTTCTCACAAAGTCACATTTACATGGACAATTTTGTAGTAGACCATTACAAAAATATATATGTATAGCCAACCTGCACTATTTTATTTTTTATTTTTACTTTGCATGTATATATCATGTGTTAAATGAACACATTTTCTGCCTCAGATCACCTGAGATATACTGTAGTATTCTGAACTGATGTCCAGATAAAGGAAACACTGGCTACAATGTTAGACCATTGTATATGTTACCAATGCTTCACTATATACCTACTACTTACACACATGTGTTAATCAACATCTTGTACTAAACAAGTAAAAAGTGAACCATCCTCTTAAACATTTCACTGCAGTATATTTTGCTTTTTGTTGTTTGTTTGTTTATTAATATTTCTCCACATACACATAAATTAGAAGTACTGTAATAATTCATATGGGAAAAAAAGTATGTGGATGGTGGTCAAAATAAGTTTGAAAACAAACTTTAAGATATGACCACCATTAAAAATAATTAATAAATCATTATTAATACAATGACAAAAATAAATTAAAAAAAAAAAAATAAATAATATGCAAAATTAAAAATTAAGTTTTAAGTAGTCTGGTTTTTATAAACAAGTAAGAATTAAATATATACAGCCACAAAAAATATGAAAAACAATATATATATATATATATATATATTTATTATATTTATTTATTTATTTATATTTTTATATTTAAAAAATTAAATTTAAGAATTTCCTAGAAAACTTTTATAATTTTTATTAATTCATTTTACTGGTTTTCCTTTCTTTCTTTTTTTTTGTGGCTGTACACCTAATAAAAGGTTGAATTCCACATTTTTTGTGCATTAATTTGTTTACATCAAGTAAACATAACTAAGATGAATAGCCACACATCACTAGCTGAAATGACAAAGCATTAAATTTGTTTAATACTGTAATATATTATTGTATTCATTGATTCAATTATTAATTTTCTTTTGTTGTATTATTCATTGTGTACTAATTTTTATTCATTAAATTGTCTGATTCCAGTGCAAGGAGTAAGAGTGCAAATCACAGGGATCCATTCGGAAGTGCCATCAATCGGTGATGAGGTCAGCTTCATCTGTGAGGTAATAGGAAGTAGCCGACTACCTCATCCTGAATGGAGGGATCCACGAGGCCTGTTAATCCCACGGTTAGCTTCAGGTTAGTGTGAACTGCAAAACCATATATAGTCATGTGATGTGCCTATATATGATCATGACAGGGCTTAAGAAACCAACAGAAAAAGGTGAAGTGCACAGCAAGGGATTTGATTTTTTTACCTCTGAGTTGAGAACCCCAATCGCTGTGGTAACTGCTCCCAGAATGTTGCACACCTACATAAAAATTTTCTTGGCTGATATTAATATAATGATATATTCTAATATTATATATGTTCAGTCTATTTCATGAATACTTACCTGGATAAACCGACTAATTGCCTTTGTTTACGAAATGGAACACCCCTTCGAATAAAATAGAACAGTCCGACTTAGGGTGTCACGTTTGAACACCCTCCCTAACAGTCTTCATTCCTTATTCGATGGTGTGCGAATAAGGAGCTTCCTTTGATAATAGAGGATTATCTACGAAAGTCGTGCATTTCAAACCCCTGCCTTTCAGCGTACCTATACGCTTGCAGACAGATTAGTATTTATTTTGACAAATAAAATTAAGAATTATGAATTATTTTATGATTCTATTCATTGTCTTTCCAAAGATGCAAGCCAAAGAGTTGGAGTGCTAGTGAAATCAGCAACATCAACAGAGCTGGTAATTCGAACCATTTCATTGGATGACACAGGAACCTACTCATGTTCCGTCGGACCTCTGAACCAGTACCTCACTATCAATGTCAATCAACAAGGTGTGTTGTCAGTTACACTAAATTATTTGTAACCCCGGGCCTACACAGGCAGTAAATCAGACCTCGTCTGATTATGTGTGCCTGGCTCAGATGGAGTATCTTATCAAATAAATTATTATGTTTCTCATTGTTGGTAAAGTTTGACAAAGTCTGATGAAAACTTTTTCTCTTCAATTTGACAGACAGTAAATTTCATAGTTTGGCATATTTTAGACTTCATTAAAAATAGAATGAAAATATCTAAAATAGAAGATATTTGTTGGTCAATATTTTTATATTGAGTGAAGTGTTTGCTGCAAACACATTCGAACTTGTGATAGTTTTTTTTCTTTTTATAATAGAAATTAACATCTATGGTGTTGAAACTATTTTATTTCTTTTCAATCCACAGCAAGGATATGCATACTTCCATGTGCCAATGGAGGGCGCTGTGTTTCAGGTGTTTGTGAATGTTTGGCCGGCTTCTCAGGAACTTACTGCAATATCAGAGGTATTATTCTCAACAAATCATATACAAACCATCTAATACACAAAATTGCTCTTCTCACTTAAATATACAACAGTTGTTTTGCTGATTAGATAATGTTGTATAAAAGCATAATTATGGAAGTGGTGGTGTTGATGGCGATGTTTTTGATGGCAATGATTATGATGATGTCGGTGATTATTTTGATGATATTTCTGATAGTGACATGGTAATGATTATGCTAATTATTACAATGATGTTAATAATGATCCTGTGTTGATGATCATTACAATAAGACTGGCACTAAGCCAATCAACTAAGATATTGATGATTCCAAAGATTATTTTGCACATTACAGAGGGTACTGGCTTCAAACTGAAGATTCAACCTCAAACGATTCAGACGCCACTTAGCCGAGGAACCACCTTTAATATGGTGTGTAGCATCGAGGGTAAGAATAATATACAGCCACCAAGATGGACTGCACCAGATGGTCAATATATTGAGGAACAGAGGCAAGGTAATTAGGTTTTCTTTATGTAGGATTTGATTCTACATTGTTTTTTGAAGATGGCCCATCCAGGCAATGCTAGTCATAGAGATACTATTGGCATTGTTTCTGTAAATGAGCACTCCTGCCCCAAAAAAGGTTCGCTTGCACCCCAGGGTACCACATTGTATGCCAACACTCTATGTTCATCCTCATTCCCTTTTCACCACTTGTAGCCTTAATGCATATTGAATATTTGTGTAATTTAGCATAGATTTGCAAAATTTTGTTGATGGGATTTTCAGAAATCTGTTTTCCATTTAGAACCCTCAGTTCATACAGAGAAAGGCATTAGCAAATAAAATACTAGTATGCTGTATAATTTTTTTATTCTTCTTTCAAGGTGTCTACCAACGAGTGTACACACAACCAATCAGCAACTCGGCTACACGACTTGTGATGACCGATCTTCAGGACACTGATTCTGGCATTTATAACTGTTTAATTGACTCTTTACCAAACTCCTTCACTGTTCTCATCAATGGTAAACTAATAACTATTTAACTATTTCAATGACTAAGGGTCTCTTCGTGTCTGAGCTACCCAGTAAATCGGTGCCATCTTTCTCTAGTCTGTCCACAACAGGGGCTATATGAACTATTACACAAGGGTAATCCTCTACTTGTCTCAAAACTGGGTTCTTTAAAGTGTACATGAGCCAAATTGAGACTTGATCCACCACAAGAACACTTGTTCCACCACCAGAATCATAGGCGAGCATGTCTTTGGGTTTTCAACCGAATGAGTATGTTTATAAGATAGATGTTAGTCACATTGCCTGTGTCCTTGAACAATAGTCTGTCTGTCTCAACATTAGTTAAAATATAAATGGGTACCCTGATAAGATGTGAATAAGTTAGAATGAATTTGGTATTATTTCATGGAACCATTGTTTTTATTTGTTGCAGTTGAAGGCTGTACCAAACCATGTCTCAATGGAGGAAGATGCATCAACAGCAATTGTAAATGTCCACCACAGTTCCAAGGAGGACACTGTCAATACCATGGTAAGAAATCATCATGCCAATCAATCAATCAATCAATCAATCAATCAATTAATAATTCAGTTATTCCATCAATCTATGGGTTGTTGAATGAATAATTACAAAATGGTTATAAGAATTAACTTTATTTTGTAATTAATCAATGAAACAATCAGTTAGACATTTCAACTTCAAACATTGATAATGTTCAAGAGCCGATCCAGTAGTGGGACGTGCTCCCCAGTCCCTGTTTGAAAAATTGTGGATCCACCTCTTATGTTTTACATTCTCATTGAATTGGTACCCTGAATATTTATGTTTTTGTTGTTTTCATACATAATTAATGCTAAAAATTATAAGAACATTATTATTATTATTATTTGAACATTTTAATTATTTTTGTATTATTTATTTCAGCAATACCATCTGAACTACCCGACTTGGTTGGAAGTGGTATTTATACACTTGGAGAGCCAATGAATGTCACCTGCCAATTGAACCCCCGTAGAGGCGCCCCTTCCCCTGTGTGGATAGCACCAAATGGACAGATTGTCAACCCAATTGGGCTAGGTGAGTGTAATCTTACATATATATGTATATATTCACAAGCAAAGATTAAAAAAAAAAACAGACCACATGTTTCAGTAGCAATCATTAATAAAGTTTTTTTTTTTAGTGTCCACACTATCAAAATGTTTATGTAAAAAAAATGTTTGGTCTGCTCAAATATGGACATGATAATGTTGTATCACATATGTGGGAAAATGGAAATGTATTTTTCTTAATAGTGGAAGCAAAACTTAAGATACATTAAAATGTACATAATACAATAAAAAAACTACTGAAAAGACTAGAATGGTACAAACATAATTAGGTTTGTATTTAAAATGTGGCTAAAATTTGTATATAAGATTAGTTAAATACTAAAAATAAATGTTAACTAGTTAAAAAATTAGGTTTATATTTAAAATGTAACTAATTTTGTATATAAAATAATAGTACTAAAAATAAATGTTAACTAATTGATAAAATTTATTTCATAAGGTGGGGATGAACACCTCCATACTGTGATGTCATCACCATACAGCAGCACATTGGTCCTCAGTGAGGTGCGTATTAGTGATACCGGTACATACACCTGTAGAACAGGAAACACAATCAACACTGTCAAGATCCAGTTCAAACCATCAAGTAAGCAACCTTCTTATCAATTCATGTTTTACTTCAACAGTATTTTAATGTGAGCAATGACACTTCAACAGAGCAGGTCATTTGGGGTCACTGATTATATATAACAAGTCTCTTTCATGATAGCTTACCTGGATGAACTGATATATGCTAGTTTTTTTTATTGGAATTTACCTAAAAAATAATGGATTTGTCCAACCAAGGTAATTGTCCTACAAACTCTGCTATACCAACATCAGCGTGACTTGTGTAATCTCACAAATCGAAGGTGATATTGTTGGTCTATGAGTAAGATACTTACCTGGATGAACATCGGTTCATCCAGGTAAGTATTCACAAAATAGACCTCTGCATGCTTTGGGAGTGGAGTCTCTATTGGTTTAGGAAACACACTATATTTTACCAGAAATGAACAGTATGTTTAAATAGATTGAAAGCAAAGCAAGGTACCTCAATGATTGACAATGTAAAATGACCTAATTTTGAAATTTTTAAATGTTATTTTTTCAAAAGCTCTGTGTTTCCCACCTTGTGTAAATGGCGGAGTCTGTATTGGTACCCGATGTCGATGTATGCCTGGCTGGGAAGGACCTGCTTGCTCTCAGAGAGGTAAAATCAGTTGATTCATTTATTTCAGGTGTTTCTATTCGTATAACATTTAATTATTATATAAATACATAGAAAAAGACCAAAACCTCCATTGTATATTACTGTATGTAAAGTTAAATGTCGGTGTCTTATTTTTTGTATACTTTTTTTTTTCAGAGACAGCAAAAGGTACAATTAAGTTGACCCCAAGTAGAACAGGAGTTGCAATTGGCGATACACATGATGTCATATGTGAAGTGATTGGTGTTCGATTAACAACCCGCCCTCTATGGTATGGCCCCTTTAATAGCATCATTGGTCCCCAACAATCAGGTTAGTGTCATGTCCCTCTAATCTAATTGTAAGATACCATATTTTGACTCTGATTATTACATATTATCTGATAAGCAAGAAATAACTTTGTTAATATTCTATAACAACAGGCACAGAGAGAGTTTACATCGAGAACTTGAGTCCTACAGTTACCAAACTTGTCATCCGTAACCTTCAGCCTGAAGACCAAGGCACATACAGGTGTGAAGCAGGTCGTGTACAGGTCATCTACGAACAATTGACTTCACTAGGTTAGTTGGTTTGAGTAATATTAATTGTTTTCTAAACGATTTTTACTGTAGTTGTTGATTGGTTATGGTTGTCTTTTGGTTGTGATTATCTTTTGGTTGTGGTTGTGTCTTGGTTGTGGTTGTCTGCTAAAAGAAGGTGGATAGGAGTGAGTTATTAGTTCCGAGGTGGCACATACTTTGGCACGGTATGCTAATTATGACGTATGACAAGACAAGGAATTGTGTAAGTCTGTTTATATTTGGGACGATGTGATAGGCCATTGTAACACATAATGAATCACAGTATGAGCTAGTGTGTGAGCTAAATCAAATTAAATTATGGGTATGTGTAATTAGCTTTTTTTTGATTGGTTGGAAGAACAATGTCTGTGATGACCAATTACAAGGTGTTTTTATTTCCCAGAGGAATTGACGTGATGACATCCAAACATGAATATGATTATTACAATGGCTTCAAAACGTCCCAAATTATTCGTCATCTCGGAAACAAAACTCACCACTGATGAGTAGAAAGGAAATCAGTGTAAAGTATTAAGCTGTGCTGATGCAGTATAGGATAGTGACATTCCAGAAATATACATGTTCTAATAACTGTTATACTTGTTTTCTTTTTAGTTGGCTGTAGAGAACCTTGTCAAAATGGTGGAACATGTGCAGGCAGTTTATGCCGATGTCTCCCAGGTTATGGTGGTGAATTTTGTGCTCAACAATGTGAGTTTCTTTTTAAACTTTTTATTATCTAAACTCAAATGAGTACTACTGTTAGACAATTTTCTTTTGATTTCATCCATTTGTTTTCTCTCTCTTTAGTTGCATGCACCCCATCTTGCCTCAATGGCGGTGTATGTGTCGATGGTAGCTGTCTTTGTCAACAGGGCTTCCACGGCACCTCGTGTACGGAAACATGTAAGTCTGTGCTCATTGTTTATTTCATGTTAAAATGATGTCGTCTATTTCGTGAATACTTACCTGGATAACCGACTAATTGGCATTGTCCCAAAACGGAACACCCCTAGAAAACAAAATGGAACAGTCTGACCCAAGGCGCCACGTGCAAACTGTCTACCTAACAAACGTTCTCATTCCCTTTTCGACGTTGTTCGAAGTCGGATCATCTAGCCTTTGGAAATTAGCAGGACTTTTCAAGCAATTCTGTTCTCCTTGGATTTATTTTTGCCTTGAATTTATTTTCAACTAGTGGTTGACAAGATATCCTTTTTATTGTAGTTCTCCACCACCGCTCGAGGGTTCGCCGGCTTCACGTTCGGCGGGTCCTTCCCCTCCGCTTGACCCGCCGAAGCAGGTGGGCCGGGTGACTCGGGAGGTTTTCGCCGGAATGCGGGCCGCTTCGGCCTCCGGTTCCCCCTGCCCCTTCTACCAACATCACGATTGATTTGTGTAATCTCACTGGTAGGAACACTTTATTTTTTCTCATCTCTGAGGAACTTGTGACTGTACCTAACTGTATTTGATTCCTCCCTTTTCAAGATGTTGATGCCCCGATGCGAGTAAACCAGATAGGCGGTGGTCCGGTGCAGGTGGGCGCTGTTGTCAGCTACATATGTGAGGTTATAGGAGTTGCTGCTGTTGAAACACCAAGATGGGTTGGACCAAGTGGGGAACCATTAACATCAGGTTGGTGAATATAAAACATAATTTTAAATTAAAAATAATGTATTTCTAGTAAAATTGGTATATTTTTTAATACTCACCATAGTTAAATCAACCAGTGCCAAGTTTTTTTTTAGCAGAAATTACATTGGAATCAAACATCCTAGTGCAGTGTATGTAATCGTTATGAATTTGGTATCATTATTGTTCAATTTATTTTATCAAATTAGGAGGCAGAATTGAAATCTTGCCAAGAGGAAGTAACAGTGTTGTCCTCGTCATAAATGGATTGCAGACAAGTGATGCTGGCCGCTACGTTTGCGTTGTTGGAACACTCCGCTCCACATTGAACATTGATATCGGTGGTAAGCATTACTCTAATATTAGTTTTAAAAGTATTAAAAAAAATAAAGTAAAAAGATACAAGTTAACTTGAATATTGTTTTACAATAATAATATAGGGATTTATACCGCACCTTTTGCCAAGGGATACAAGACAGTGACGATGTTGTTATTATTACCCCCCGTTCATCCATAATCAACTAGCACATAGTGCAACTTCCTCCACTCTCTGGGAGTATTCCTAGTCGTGCTGGTTAATGCCAATACAGACTAATACATTCAATGCCACATCATCCTGTCAGGTACTCTTGGGTGAAGAGACAATATACAAGTTTTATCTGTTATTTAGAAGTAGAACGCATTTAGAAAGTTTTAGTGCTATATTGTGCGCTGTAGGTTTGAAAAATTGAAGCTTTATCGTTTGTTTTGATGCAGTGCCATGTAATCCAAGTTGTGAAAATGATGGTACTTGTAATGATGGAGTATGTGAATGCAAGCCAGGTTATGATGGTGGTCATTGCCAAGTAACAGGTAATAGAGTTATCACTATTCATTACTCTCAACACTTCATTATTACATGCTCAAACACCACATGTTCATATACATATCCACTAAAGTATTGTATATCTTTTCTATGATAAGTCTTTTCTTTGTTATGTGTACAGGACATTGCACTAAGAAATTATCTTATAATTCAGTGTTGAAAGGTTGAAATATGGACTTAAATTTACATCTACTTCTGTAGTCTATTTAGTGAATACTTACCTGAATAAGACTAATTGCCTATGTTCCCTCTAAATAGAATAGAGCAGTCCATTTCAAGTTTCCATGTACAAACTGTCTCCCAAACAGTAGTCCTCATTCCCTATTTTTCTGTGATTCCCGTTTGTATATTTTCATCTAGTCTTAAATAAGTAGAAGTGATTGGAAAAATTCTCTTTGAATTTTTCTGTCTTTTCTCCTTCTGTATTTATACCTCACTGTCTAATACTTTTATTCATGTCTGTTTGTAGATGCTGAATACTTCATCACAATCACAACTGTTGACAACGTCATCCCTGTGATTGGTCAGGACATCAGCTTCCTCTGTGAAGTCACAGAAAACCCAACACTTGGCAGCCCACGATGGTTGAATCCAGACCGCTCCGAGATCAAACTGCTAGGCTTCAGTGGCGATCAGCACATACACATTGAGGAGATATCACCCACCGCTACAAAACTTAACATCCAGGGCTTGCGAGCAGATGACGAAGGCATGTACATATGCGCTGTGAGCCATATTAGCCGCGAGGTCTCGGTCAACCTATTAGGTTAGTATTCGACTGATTGTTTTAATGATTTTCTTAGTCTATTATGTGTCAATATACTTGGGTAAACAGATATAAACAAAATTTCCTTTTGCACAGCTTGCCTTCAAAAAGATGGCATCACCATATATACACAGTAATCAATACGCTGTCATCCATAATTTAAGTATGACAAGTGTAACTGGGCATTGTGTAGTAAATAGCAATTTACTTTTCAAGTAATTGTTCTGAAAATTAAAGCTGTGTAGATTGGAGTGTGTATTTAATTATTAAGTATTCATGTGTTTGATAGTAAGAGACATAGTAAGATGGATAAGGCACTAACCTTAGTAAATTTTTGTTTTACGTAAGCTGTTAGAATCCTTGTAAAAAAAAGCAAAATAAAATAACTGGAACAGAACTAAACTTTGTAATCAGGATGATGATACTCAGCTGCAGTTAAAGACAAGGGTTATATCTACTGTATTGAAATGTGTCAGGCCGCAAACTATACTGTTTATTTCATGAATGCTTACCTGGATAAACCGAATAATTGCCACTGTTCATTTAAGAAAACACCTACGATAAAAATAGAGCCGTCTGGCTGTCCCTTACACCCAAACTTGGTCAACTTTCTTTGTCATTACACCCATTTTCTGTCTTCTCTGATTCTACAGAGGAAAACTGTCTTCTCCCATGCTTGTATGGAGGAACTTGTGCTGGAGGGGATTGTATCTGTCCACCAGGTTTCATAGGGGATCAGTGTCAAACAACAGGTAATCAGAGAAAATACTGCAAAATCAAGTATAGAATATATGGTGTTTATAAAATATTGGTAAAAATAATATGTATTAATAATGTAGGGTGTAATAATACCTTTTTTGCAAAAAATTTTTCAACCTTGGAAGATTAGTATTAACAAGTTGTAACACCTGTGATCTTCTAAGATATTTTATTTTGTTTCACACACACAATAATTCAATATTTTTAAACAGAGCAAGGATTTGTAATCCGCTTTACAACTCCATCTGAAATTGAGCTTCAGTTGTACGGTGATGTAGAGTACGTCTGCGAGATTGCTTCTGTGACAGGATTCCGCAATCCAAAATGGATTGCACCGGATGGAACTGTAATCAGCACAAGAGGTACAATTCATTTAATTTTGCAAGAAATTAATTGGAAGGGAGTAGCTTTTTCAGATTTTCACTAATATGTCTAATAAACAGTAATAAAACATCGAAAGTAGCTTTTCTGTGGCAATGAAAATCATGATTTTAGTTAGATGGATTTCTTGTTGCTTTTATCAGTTAATAGTGGAGGACATTGTAGAATGGCCACCATTTTTTTTAAAGATAAACCCATTATTGTCTAAATACTGTACCGATAATCATCAATTATGTTTAATGAATAATCTATAAATACTAGGTAAACTATCAATATTGAAGTATTATTTCAGTATTCTATTTCATGAGTACTTACAACATTACTTCTGATTTGTGTGATTCTAGGCACCAACACTCGGCAATACATTGAGTACTCAACGCCAACCTCCACTCGTCTCGTCATCCAAGGACTGCAGCTCCAAGATCAGGGTATCTACACCTGCAGTGTGGGATCTATCAATGACACTGTACCAGTTGTATTAGATGGTAAGTGGTTGTAACCATGAGTGTGTGAATTTGCAAATTGATAATAATAGTATGCGAGAACAATACTAATATGTAATGATATCAATAATAATAATAATAATGTGGAATATGTAATTTTATTCTGTTTTTAACTTATTTAACTAGATCCTAGATGAGCTGCTTGCCTTTGTGGAACTTACCTTTTAAAAATAATCCATCTTACATGTAATTTTTAATCAATCCATATGTACATTCACATTCCTTTTTAAATTTCTGCCAAGGTATTTCTTATTAGGAGAGTAAATTTGTCATTGTTTTGAAAAACCTATATGATTTCTTTTATGATTTCATTCTAATTAGTTTTCTTTTTTCCTAAACTGTTTTGTAGGTGCGGAGGCATTTAATTGAATCACGAAAGATTTAATCTATTTTTTGAATAATTAACAGTACTTAGATGACCCAATATATGTCATGAAATTGAGGTAATTTATTTTTCCCTTTTAGTGTGTGGGGAAACTTGGTATATCAGGTAATCCAGATAAATCATCGAATATTAATATTATTGACTGTTTGATTTACAGTTGGAGATTGTAATCCTTCTTGTCAAAATGGCGGACAATGTTTGGATGGTACTTGCCTCTGTCCAGCTGGTTTCTATGGCAGCCAGTGTCAACATCTTGGTAACTATATGTTTACGTAAACTACAATATGCAGAGTAATAGACAAAAAGACCCATAAACACCAAATAAGTTATCTCTATAATTGTGTATGCAGTTGCTGTTGTTGAATGTCTATTGGAACTGCCTGTGATGTATTATATAGTCTATTTCGTGAATACTTATCTGGATAAACCGACTAATTGTGATTGTTCCCAAAACGGAACACCCCTTCGATTGATTTGTGTAATTTACTAAACTATTAAACCTACTAAGACTATTAAACCTACAAATTTTTTATGACCATGCCACAACTCCATTTGTGTAGATTCAAATATTTCCCAGCCAACACCGATGTATTGCCACTTACAGGATGAGTATAAAATGTGTTGCATATATACAGGATGGAAAAAAAAAGTGTGAATGATTGTCTGTTTTCCACAGAGTCGCCTCATGCCTTGACGATCATCCCACCTTCTACTCTACCTGAGATTGGGGAAACAGTCTCCATCATCTGTAATGCACCATCACCAGGCAGATACCGTAATCCACAATGGTTCTATCCTGACGGAAGACCAGTACTCATGAAGTCTGAAGGTAAATACAATTCTTACTTGATATGTAACCGAACATCAACCAACATACCCTGGTTTTGCATAGGTGACACAACAATTTTCTTGATCTGATTTAAATTTATGTCGCATATTTTTCAAAAAAATATTCATATGTTTTTATTATTATTATTAATATTGAAGGAGCTGGAAACGTTTTTGTTGACCTCCTCGGGCCATTCTCAACCAGACTGACACTAGATGATATTAAAGTTGAGGATCTTGGAGCCTATAAATGTGAAACCGGACCTCTGTCCTCGGTCTACACTGTCCTTGCTGAAAGTAAGTATCTCATATTTTTAACTTTTAAAATTCAAACAAGATTTACATGTTTACAGCATTTAAAAATGAGATTTAAGTTTTTAGATTCTTATAATTGTTGTGTAACTTACCATAATAAAATAACCATCATATAGTGTATAGCGTAGAAATTGGATAGTGTTGTAGGCAATACAGCAGTGAAATTAGTTAACGTGTGTTTAATTTTGTTAAACAGACACTCGTGATTGCAGCACACGTCCTTGTCAAAATGGCGGTACCTGTTACCGTGGTGTTTGCACATGCCCAGTAGGATACACAGGAACACAATGTGAAACCGAATGTAAGTATTTCGACAAGTTTTTTAGAAACACAATTGCAATGTACTGTTGATGTTTTATAAATGTTATTGTTTTTGGTTTTACAGTGCAATCATTGCGAGTTAAGATCACCCCACAAACCAGTCTCCGTGAAGGACAAGACCTTATACTGCAGTGTAATGTTCCTGATGCAAGTCCGTTCAAGGATCCTGAGTGGAGAACTCCATCTGGTCAAGTCATACGTCCACTCAACCAAGGTACCCACAACCGCAAACTACAACAAAATAAATTTTGCATATCTATTTATAAATATAGCTGATTATTATAGATAATGAAACCTTACACTGAATGCTTAAACAAGGCAATGATAGGTCAATCATCTCTTATGAGAGTCATGCCTGTTGCTGACTTTAAGGCACGGAAACTTAATAAAATTGATAAAAAGATAAAAACAGATGTCGCAAAAATATCATGAAATTGAGAACAATTTAAAACAAAACATACATTGAATAGAAGTGTAAAAACATGAAAATAAAAAGTTTAAAATTATCTAAATTTTTTAAAATGTTTTTAAATTTGTATATACACTGTAAAAGGCTTTGGAGTAAAAAATTACATTAAAACAACAATTACGGGGAAAGGTAAAAAAACGGACTAGTTGATTTTGACAAAGAAAGCCCAAGAAAACCAATTACACAAGTTTATTTCCATTGGGGGTCCTTTATGATCCTAACATTTTCAAGGGTGTTGCTAACTTTTGCTCAAATTAGTAATGTTGTGAGCCGTTATGTATGGTGTGCATGATTTCCCCAATATTTTACTTCAAAAACAAGAAAGTTAAAGTACAGTCAGATTTTTTTTTACAAAAAATCACATTTTGTTCATGTTTATTTCATTAGGTGGCTCAGAATCGATGTTTGTTCAGGCTGTTACTCTAACAAGTTCCACCCTGGTTATAAAGAATGTGAATGCAAGAGACAGTGGGGCCTATTTGTGTAAGGCCGGCCCACTACAGGCTGAATACACCTTCACACTTACAGGTATAGACCGATCCATTTACAGTGATTATTCTCCCTCTGCAGATTTTATAGCTCTGCTACTAATGTAAATATTGAGGTTATTAAACGTGCAGTAGGTTGTTTCAATCATGATTTACTCTAAATACTTTGCACCACCATACATGGACATGACATGCCATGCATAAGGGAGACTGCAAGGAGGTCCCTAGAAAAGCGATTGGATTTGTCTATAGAAACAACTGAGATTATGTCTTTGCCTAAGATTTTTCAACAGAGCACCTAATCACTATTGGATATGTACATTTAACATCGAAGAGCTTTAGATTTTTGTTATGTCAAGAAAATTATAAAATAATTTTGCTAATCATAGAATACATTTGTGGCTTTTTTTCTTTTAAACTATTGCACAGTTAAAATATAGAATGCCATAATTTTTTACTATCTAGATACCTCATGTAGTCCAGCCTGTATCAATGGTGGAACTTGCGCTAATGGTAAATGTGTCTGCACAAGAGATTTCACTGGGATTGCCTGTGAGAGGGAAGGTAAGATAAATAATAGTCTTGTCAGTCGGATGATAGTGAATACTTACGTTGATAAACCGATAAATGCCTAAGTTTCCTTTAAAACTTACCTCTCGAGCATAAAAGAAAAATAATGGACTCACCCTAGCTCGCCTATATATACGCCCTGCTTTTGTAATGAAAGCTTGCTATTACAAGAGTTGTAAAGTGTAGTGTGTCACCATGTCCGCGCAGAAGCCTACTTGTTCGTTGTGTGATTGGCCTAGGCCTAGCCCACGCAATAATAAACATCCTGCTTGCCCGGCCTGTCGGTCATAATGTTAATGCATTTTACTTTGCCCCTCTGTATTTCACATTAATTTCTTTTTTTCTAGATTATGTGATTCGCATTTTGACTCCTGACTTGTTGGATTCTCGGGAGGGTACTAACATGACATTGGTTTGTGAGCTTCCTTCCAACAGCTTCTTCCGCAACCCATTATGGTATGACATCCTCTCCAATGTGGTGCCAACACTTGGTTCTGGTGAGTTTCCAATGTCTTCATCTTTCTGTTAAATTTATATTGTTGCTTATAATAAACATGTGGTTGTTTATAGTAGAAGGTTGTAAGTTATTTTTCATCAAGCAATAAACGTAAAGACGTACTTACAGAACGTTTCAAGACCTGTCATGTCTCAATCTCAACTGGCATTTCATTATTTCCGTCAAGCAGAGGAATGTGCGATGATGTTGTGCTGCTTTGGAATCCCGCCACCTACATTAGGTCCTATTGGACATACCTCATCGCTCAGTAGGAGTCAGATCAATAGGAATTTATGCTATAAAATTCTAAAACTATTTATATTACCAATATGCTTTTTTTTTGTAGGGGACAATGAGCGAGTTGCTCAGGAGGCACTGTCACCGCTTACATCAAAACTCCACTTTACCCCCCTCCACCAGACAGACACCGGTACTTACACATGTATGGCAGGCCGTTTCCGAGATGAATACGACTTACGAGTGAATGGTAACATTCGATGATTTATGTTTTGTGTATATATTATATGGTATTGTTATGTTTTAAGTTGCAATCATTTCGTTAATGAAGTTCATAATAATTGAATGCTCTTGAAATGATTCATATTTTACAATTGTTCTTATACAGAATATCAATGTTATTTACAGTGTGTACTGATGTCACCTCAAAATATACTAGGGGACCAACAAATTATACTCATATTTACTTTTTTTTTGTTAGCTATTCCATGCAGTGAGGATTGTATGAATGGTGGACTCTGTATCTTTGGTAGATGTGAATGCTTACCAGGGTTCAATGGTGACAGCTGTGAAACTCCAGGTGGTGGGTACAACTTCTTAATTTTTTTTCCCTCATGATGAGATATATATAAATCATTTATCAATCCGACTACTAAACTGATTACATATTAATGTTGGATTTGCGTCTAAATTAAAGATAAATAAAGACCAAAGGTTTTTTTAAGATAAGATGAGATAAACTTCATTGCTCCAAAATAAGGAATTCAGTACTTGCATTAATATATACAGTAAAAATATTAAAAAAAGATAAAGTACAGTAAAATATAATAATTATAATACAAAAGAGATATCAAACAACGACCATTAAACCATTAAAGCAGTCACCAAAGCACAGAAACAACAGCAAAAAGGGTAAAAACTAAGATAAAAAATATATTTTTAAGTTATTGCAATATTATTATTATTATTATTATTATTATTATTATTATTACTACTACTACAGTTTTTTTTTTTCATTTTTATCATCATCATCATCATCATCATCATTATTATCATACTACATCTTTTAAAATTGATGTTAAAAGGTCTTACACCCTGGGGAACAAAGGAGGCCTCAGTTTTTATCTTGGACACTTCTTTTATCGTCAACAGAATTTTACATATATTTTCTCTGCCGCGTAGAGCTTCTGAAAGAACTGTTTTGATAAATTAAAAAACACAAATTAATATAAAAAATCTGCTCCCCTATGGCAATCTTAAAAAAATATATAGAACATTCCTACCTTATTTCATTTTGTCAGGTTTACCTAATTTGTTTCCATATTCTTGTCATTGTAATTGACTTTCAAAGTTTTTTTTCTCTTATCAGATGTAACGCTTGTTATTACTGTGAAGGAGATTACTGGTAAAGAACCAGTAGCCGGTGAAGACGTCCGCTATTCCTGTAAGGTATCAGAGACTAGTGGGTTCTTAAGGCCAACATGGTATGGACCCGATGGTCTGGAGGTAGAACCTATAAGTGGTGGTAAGATGTGGCTTTAGTTGATGCTTATTTCTTTCATACACAATATTAATAATATATGAAATTTTTATTCTGCAGTTTCTCGATAGATTGTTGTTAAATTTAGATTCAATTCAATTTAATTAATATTTATTCAATTTAATCAAATACAAAAAATGATAAATTAACAAAAACTAAAAAAAAACTAATAACAATAAATGCATATCAAGTATATATACATTTATATATGCACACACATACTATATATGCATATGTATATGTACATATACATGTATACACACACACACGTACACCCACACATACATCTACATAAATACACATACACACAAACATACGTAAAAACACACACACAACCACATAATTCACACAAAATATACATACTAAAATAATTTGATAAAGTTAAGATTGGTACATTTGTAATTAATATTTCTTCATCGGCTTCCTAAAATTTTGGGTTCTATTGCAATTTTCAAACTTAACATGAGTATCATTCCATAATTTCGGTCCGTATGCAGAAATGAAAAATTGGCTTTTAGTTAGTCTTACAAAAGGATTAGATTAGTTTGGCAGTGGTAGATGTCTATTTCGTGAATACTTACCTGGATAACGCAGTGGTAGATATTTAACTCACTGTAGAGTAGGGAGATGACATCAGACCATGGTCCCTAATAGGCACTTTGGTCTGCCTCTGAGTGGAAGGTATTCAGTGATTCTCTTCCACTAGACAGGACTTGGACTGATCAGAAAAATTGATGCCCTGCTTAAAGCCCTGTCCAGACTATCACATTTTATTTGACATAAACATGCGACATGCCTAAATAATGGTCATGATGACATCACATCATGACCATATATAGGCACATCATGACTATATATGGACATACAACAGTTTTTTGTCAAAGGAAATTTGATAATCTGGACAGAGCTTTCTGACTTAAAAGGAGAATACGTTTTAAGGTCGTACTTTGGATTAAGATCTATCAAATAAGAAATAGTGTTATTGCTATGAATATGATGTCACTATGAATATTATACAGATATTGCTCATGAGGGGAATTGTGAAATCTAATCTATTGCCCAAAGGTAATGTGGAGACCGTAGCCTATCTACGAAGGTCTGAGGGAAGATAGGCTACGGTCTCTACATCACTGAGGGGCTATAGATTTCACCATTTCCCGTAACTAGAGCAGTCAATATTTGTTTTATATTCCTCTTACATAGATTCTACGAAGCCAATAAAAAGTAATTAAAAGAGTACCCACCAAGTAGGCCTGGCTTACTTCCTAGGTCTAGGAAGTTATTGCCTGCTTCTTAACCAATCAGATGACTAGAATCTATGTATGTGGTATATAATAATTGATATTGAGCCCATTCTCATTTTCTCAGGTAACTATCACATTGGCAGTGATCTTATAACTCTCCACGAGAGCCACCTGTCCTTCCGTGGTCTCAGTTACAGTGATAACGGTAATTACTCATGTGTGGCAGGGCCTATGAGGTATATCCACAACCTTGTTGTTCTAGGTAAGTATATTACTTGGAGTTTACGATTGCCTCCATGATCCATAGAGGCAACCATATTAGTAGGGACTGAATACATGTTCATACTTACAGTAACTGATAAGATTATTTCTTGGCCTAAGATTTTCACCAGGGAACCTAATCATTATTGAAGATAATCGTTTAACTTTAAACAGCTTTGCAGTATACATTCAAAATGTGAAAACATCTTAAATTGAAATGACTCATTCTAGTTATCATTTATTCAAACTCACTTAGCTTATGTATGAGTAGTTGTTATTCCTCTTTACATTCTTGATTTCATTCAAATTCAGGTTTGTTTTCAGTCTTCCTCCCTTCATTTCACTAAGATTTAGTTCCCCACCAGCACAAAAAATCTACTATGGAAACTGACTAGAACTTTAAGATGTTTATTTTTATTTCAGACCCAATTATTCCAGTCACTACGGAAGAGTAAGTGTTTGCTTCTGTACTGTTTATTTTATTTTAATGTATGTAATGTTTTACCTCTGTTGAATGATATTTACGTAATGAAGGGAAGTAAAATCAAGAGTGTTTGTGTGATTAGCACTCATGATAATTTTTTAAGCCTTTCAATAATAATAATGGTAAACACATCAAGCAATAATAATAATAATAGTAATGGTATAGCACATCATGCAAAGGTTTCTATGCGCTTCGCTATTGTAATAATATCCGGAAATTGAATATAATAAAATACAGTATATAAATGATTAATTTTTCAGGCCAGAATTCATAGTAGTTGAAGAATACATGAAGAATGAGTCAATTTCCCTCGGTGCCCAAGCCGTTTTCATGTGCCGTATTGTTGGCAATCCACCTCCAGAATACATCTGGTTCAAAGATGGTGAACCTGTCAGTGAAGAAGACCCAGCATTCCTGATCATGACATTTGACTGGGGTACTATGATGACCATTCATACTGTACAGATTGGAGACATTGGAGAGTATAGATGTGAAGGAATGAATAAGGTTGGAATGAGATCTGTCATTAGTAATCTGGATGTATCAGAAGGTAAGTTTGAGGGCGCACTTTCAATCATAGTGTGGATAAAATATAAGCATGTGAATGGCATTTATGATCGTTTTGTAAGTCTGTATAAACCTATAAAGGAAGTACATCCTGTGGCATCCAAGGTATATAAAATTGGCAAGATGGGTGATTCCATTATTTTTCCTTATTTTGGTGAGGGTGAATTTCAATAAGCCTATATATTTATGATGTATTGTTCTGTGAAATAAATAAAATCTGATTATATCTTAGATAGGGTCTTATGTTATTATCTAAAGGCTAAACTCTGAAAAATAATTAAATTAGTCTAATTCTGCTGTAGTATCAAAAAAGTAATTGGTATTGAATTAAAGTACCATGGCGCAGCGGGAATGGTTTGGTTCCCAACCTGGAGGTCGGAGTTTCAATTTCTTGCTGTTCATTTCACTTGTGTACTTGAGCAAGGCACTTTTTCTGCTTGTTTCTCTCCACCCAGGAGTATAAATGGTAGGATTGCCTGCTACTGTGCTAATATGACAGCAACACTTAAGCATGCGGACAATGACTAGGGAATATAAAGTGCTTCCTAATCTAAGGAAAAGCCACTATATAAATTCCAAATAAACAAATAAATATTTGTAGGAGTTGAATACACTATATTTTGGAAGAAAAATTATTAACATGATAATTTGCTATACTTTGCAGCACCTTGCTTCCCAGCTTGTTTGAATGAAGGCAGATGTATTCTGGGAGAATGTATATGTGCTGAGGGCTACACTGGAAGCTACTGTCAATCTGGTTGGTTCACTGAATATTAGTTATTATAGTCATGTACTGTAGTAGGCAGCACTCAAAAACAAATTTTAAGATGGTGCTGTATTTTTTCAGCATGAGTTCAACTACTGTTGATGCAAGCTTCATCAAGTGCACACTGTATTATATTTGTACGTTATTTTTCCGAAAATAAATGTATTATGAAAACAAGACATTTTGTTAATTCTTACAGAAAAAGTATGCATATCCGAATGCTTGAATGGTGGAGTTTGTCAGCTTGGCAAGTGCTTCTGCGCCAAAGGTTACACCGGTGACATCTGTCAGTTAGGTATCTATATCTAATTTATTTAAATATGTTTACATTTATTGGGCTTTCACTTACAAAAGGGTCAGGCCACTTTTTTTTTTGCATAGCTAGTGAATGCACCAATTTATTAATTTGTTATTTTGAAGAGAAATCATGTGAACCAGAATGTGAAAATGGTGGTGTATGTTCACTTGGAGAATGTATTTGTGCAGATGGCTTCAAAGGAGATGCATGCCAAACAGGTGAGAACTGAAGGATTGTACTATATTCTTTAAATCTGCCTTTTTTTCACCCAACTGTTAATTATATATTATATAATAATTCTTTATTTAATAATAATAATTCTTTATTTGTCCTTGTGTATGTATGCCTACACACTGGGAAATTCGGGCTGGGTCCCTGGGGACCCGCGGCTGCCATAGCTCAGTGCCAACTACCCCACTTATTCTACAACATCAAACGGATAAAGACTGATACAGACATGGTCCTTAACTCGCCTAACTCTCCTGAGAGGGTTATTTGAGGAGCTGAGCGTTTTTGTTATTATAAAAGACCTGATTTCAATACTCAATGCAGAGCCGGGTATTGAACCCGGGTCCCGGCGTGCAAGAGGCAGGAACCATACCAATTAGCCAAACACTCAGCTCAAATATGTAATAAAATTGTCTAATACTTATCTGGATGAACTAATATATCTTACTCACAGACCAACAACATCACTTCTGATTTGTGTATTTTAAATGCTTAACCTAAATTGTATTATATAATATTTTGTGTGTAGCCATCTGTCTGCCAGCTTGTCTTCATGGTGGCAACTGTACAGGCGGTGCATGTGTTTGCAGCCCAGGATACACAGGCAGTTACTGTCAGACAGGTAAACATAACACATTAAAGCAATTTTAATAGTTCAGTTTGTTTATTTTGTGAATACTTAATCTAGGTAAACCGACTATTGCCATTGTTCCTATACATGAACACCCCCTTAAAGAAAATAGAACTGTCCATTTTGGGGTGCCCATATGTTTATCCTCATTCTTTGTCACTGTTGAAAATGACAACACCTTAACGCATGTTCAAGCAAAGAATAATATAGTTGTTTATATTAATTTCATACCCTATAAAATCTTTCATTTTGTTGTTTTTGCTTTCTAGAAGTACAATGCGAGACAGAGTGCATCCATGGAGAATGCAAGCTAGGTAGATGTGTCTGTGACGAAGGGTATGAAGGAAGGGCTTGCGAAACAGGTAATTTAAGCCAGTAGTCTTTATTGTGTGTGATTCCTTCACATCACATAATATTAGATTACTCTACTGTATTAACAAGATACTTCTTGACTAATTTGAAGTGTGTGGCAAGCAATAAGGCTTTGGATTTCCATAGAAAATTAGGAGGGTTTTGCCCGAGGCTGGCCACTTGTATGCGGGCAGAACACTTGCGTCACAATTCTCTCTTTCCACCAAGGAGTATAACTGGGTACCTTGTTAGTTTGATTGCTATTGTGCAGCTGCAGCACAAAATACTCGCCAAAATACTCTCCAACAAAAATTAATACAAAAATAAAATGGATGAAGTCTGCCTTGTGAATACCAACTATTGCCAGTTGTTCCTTTAAATAGAACATCCCATGAATTCTAATTACCAGAGTAGCAATGTAAAGAATATAGAGGCATGTGTATACTGTATAAATATTATTGGTACAATGATCGTTTTTTCAGAGAAGCCATGCCCATATATCTGTCTGAATGGTGGTGTCTGCCGGAGAGGGTTCTGTGTATGTGCAGAAGGATATGAGGGCTTGCAGTGCTTGCAAGGTTAGTTTCTTAAATTGTCTTTTCTGTTCATTAGTAAAAATATCCTCAGAATTTTTTTTTAGATGTTTTTGCTTCTTGTTTTTTTATTTAAGTACAGAAATATTTTTAAATAGATATCAGAAAGTAAACAACAAATAATGATGAATGACTATATAAATAGTAATAAATTTGGAAATTTAAATTAATTTATTAATATTGTTATTAGTTTTGTTATTTGTGTTCTTTTTAAATTATAATATTATTTTAAATACTTAATTTATGGAATATATTACCTGTGTTTGTAGAACTGGAGTGTGAAGAGGAATGCCAAAATGGTGGTGAATGTTCGGCTGGCAGATGCATTTGTGTCGAAGGCTACATTGGAGAGTTCTGTCAAACTGGTATGTTAAAACCTATTGATTTTAGGTTTATTATTTACAAAAGATATGCAGAAATCAATTTTTTTAAATCATAGTTGATAATAAGGACTTAATGAAGTTTATTATATTCAAGAATAAGGTCTCAGATTCTATTCAAATTCAAAAACCTATCAATTGGGTATTACGATATGTGTGTATACAGTACTTATGAATTTTACCTGTTTACATGTTTTTGATGGGAAACTAGCTTAAATAATATCTTTTACTCTATGCATTTACAAAATTCCATATATCTCGGTATCTTTTATTCAAATATAAATTAAAAATTAACAAATCCATTCATTCATTCTCATGGTATATTTTATTCAAAAAATTCAAATATAAACAACACAAAGTTAAAAAGTTAAAAAATCGATAGCAGACAAGAGCTGAATTGAGGATCTAATGTACAATTAAAAATTTACAAACACAATTATATTTGTTTTGTTTTTTTTTGTTAATTACAGAGAAGCCATGTAATAGAACATGTGCCAATAGAGGAACCTGTGATAAGGGCAAGTGTGTTTGCCAGCTGGGCTACTTGGGAGATTTCTGTCAATCAACAGGTAACTATAGCAACTATCACAATATCATGTGACTTGTGACACACTTGTAGGAAGCATGTCTTCATGGGGCTGCTAGTGTCTACAAGTTTTCTTACGTTATTTTTCTTTATAAATATTTTGTAAATAATATATAAATCAAAATATTATTTAAAATAATGATTAATAATGTAAAAAAAGCAGGACACTTCCAGATTCATCTAATCTGTTTATTTGTTTGGCAAATTTTCAAATTCTGATGTTACATTTTGTTACTTATTGCAGATCCTACTGCAGTAATGGACATCAAGGCTGTTAATGGAAAGCAACCAATGATGGGAGGTGACGTCAGTTATGACTGTAATATAACGGAGGATAGCCCCCTCATTGATCCCGTTTGGATGACACAGAATGGTGAATTGGTTTCTGAAGGTGAGTGCATTTCAGGAAACTGTATTCTTGTCATCATCATCATCCTCATCATTGGCATCATTATCCTTGCCGTTGTCATCATTATCTTCACTATTTCATCATCATTTCCATCATTACCATCATCATCTTAATCATCACCACCACCATTGTTACCATCGTCACCATCATCATCATCATCACCACCAACACAATTATCATCATCATCATCATCATCATCATCATCATCATCATCATCACCATTATGATCATCATTACCATCATCACCCATTATTACCATCATCACCGCCATCACAACCATTATCATCATTACCATTAATACATCATTATCATCTCCATTGCTGTAAACGTTTGCATCCTCTTAATTTTTTTGCAATATTTATTGTCGTCATGAACATTGCCACCACCGCCTTCACCATCTTCACCATTGATGATCTTCCAAAAAAAGTATTTTATCTGAACAATGTATGTTTTTTTCAGATGCAGGTCGTGTGCAGCTGATCAAAATGTCACCTAAGCAAGTACGATTAACCATAACAGGATTGAAAGAAGAGGATGCTCGTAATTTTATCTGTGTAGCTGGCCCAATGCGCTCCCCTCTGAACATGGTTATTGATGGTAAGTATACAACATAATCTTTTAAGGCTAAATTCTTAGAAATACTATTGATGGAATCTTTCATACCACAGATATTTGCTAATAATAGGCTCTCAAGCCACTTCATTGAAAAAAGATAATAATTTTTTAAGTCAGAATATCATAGTATTACATTTTACATTCAGCATCTTTTTTTTAAAATTTTTCCCATTTAGATAGTGTAACAATCGTGGCTACAGAAGCCCAAGAAATTGCTCTAGGAGAAGACATCAACCTGCTCTGCAAAGTCCCAGCAGAAGATGTCATTGAAAGACCAAAATGGCTGGACAGTAATGATGTCACCATTGAAACACTAGAGGGAGGTATGTTGCAGCTTATAAGTTTCAGCCTTGCTGTAACTTGCAATTCTCTCTGTTTTTCCATTCGTTTTAGTCATATGAGATTTTATAAGTATTTTTATTTATATCTTAGGTGCAACCGATCATGTTTTTGTTGAGCATGTGTCAGATTCTGTCACCAAACTTGTGATCAACCGTGTACAGTTAGCTGACCTAGGAACATACACGTGTATTGCTGGTGCAGTCAGGAATAACTTTGTTTTGGATTTCGAACGTAAGTTTCTTGATCGTTTGATTGACACTTTGACGGAATAATGTACCAAAATATAATCCTGATTATGATTCGTTTATTCTGATATAAACATTAGCCTACAATTAAACAAAGCAATTGAACTGCCACCACTGGTTTCATGTTTTTTCAATAACGTTTCAAAATAATGATTTTTATTACGTAATTGCAATTTTTTTTTTGTTTAGCACCTGTATGTATATTGTTGTGTATGAATGGCGGGTCATGCATCCAAGGAACATGTCTCTGTCCCGAAGGTTTCACAGGCGATCAATGTCAAATACCAGGTAGGCTTACAAAAGAGTAAACCACAATATTTGTGGCTTGCATAATAAATTTTGAACATTTGGCTTTGATTTCAGTTGTTAGGTTATAGTTCTTTCCGCATGACTAAGATTTTTCAGTAGTAGTTTAGACTTCCAAAATATTATGGAAAGATATTAGGAATTTTACAGATCTCACTGGGATTATTTTTTATATATCTGTATTCACATGGAGTGCAGTTTTTCTATTTATTTTTCT